TTTTTCAGTGTTTAGTTGTCCCCATTAAACACTAGCTCCCAATGCTCGTCCTCCAGCCCCTGGCAGCCACCACTCTACTTTCTGTTTATCTTGGTTTGGAGTATTTCCTAGTATAGGAGGTAGAATTTAAACAAGACAGCTCTAATGTTAACATGGAGATGTTGAGCACCAAAGAAGCCTAAATACTCTAGATCAGGGGTCAGCGCAAACTACAACCATGGGCCAGCTGTTTCTTCTTATAAATAAAGTTTACTGAAACATAGACATGACCCTACCTTTATACATTGTGGCTGCTTTCCCATTACAAGGCAGAGTTAGATAAAGTGTAAAGAAACCACAGGGCCTGCAAGCCTAAAATACTCTCCTATCTAGCTCTTCAGGAAAAAGTTTTGTCAACCCTGCTCTAGATTGTAGAGCATTCTGTAATGATAAACATTCTTTTTTTTTTTTTTTTTTTGAGACAGAGTCTCGCTTTGGTTGCCCGGGCTAGAGTGAGTGCCGTGGCGTAGCCTAGCTCACAGCAACCTCAAACTCTGGGCTCGGAGTGATCCTTCTGCCTCAGCCTCCCAGGTAGCTGGGACTACAGGCATGCCGCCACCATGCCCGGCAAGTTTATATTGTATATATCAGTTGGCCATTATTCTTTCTATTGTATAGTAGAGACGGGTCTCGTCAGGCTTGGTTTTGAACTCCTGACCTTGAGCAATCCGCCGCCTCGGCCTCCCAAGAGTAGGGATTACACGGGTGAGATAAAACATTCTTTATCTGTGCTTACATTATAGTAGCACTAGTCACACGTGCCTACTGAGTACTTAATGTCACTACTGGGATGTGAAACTGAATTTTAATTTTATTTTAATTAATTAATTTAAATATATACCTATTGAGCAGAATGGGCTCCAGAATCTAACAAAGAGAACAGTATTGAGATTTATTTATATTAACTATAACATACTAGTTAATATAACTAGTTAATTAAGACAGTGCAATAGTAGTACCTTCTAATCAGTATGTGAGACCGACAAATATACATATTACAATAATGGCGACTCTGCTAAGCAGGGAGAAAAGTCTTTTCAAATAACAGTGCTTGGCCGGGCGCGGTGGCTACGCCTGTAATCCTAGCATCTGGGAGGCCAAGATGGGAGGATCGCTCAAGATCAGGAGTTCAAAACCAGCCTGAGCAAGAGTGAGACCCCATCTCTACTAAAAATAGAAAGAATTAATTGGCTAACTTTAAAAAAAAAAAAGATTGGTACAACCACTTTGGAAAACTGGCAGGATCTACAAAAGCTGAGCATATGGACAAAATATGAGCCAACAGTGTCACTCTTAGCTATATGACCAAATGAAAAAAGTACACACGTGCTCCTAGAGACATGCACAGAAATGTTCAGAACCACCTTCTTTACAATGAGTATAAACTGAAAACAGCATATGTATAACAAAAGAACGGATAAACGAATATAGCATATTCATATAATGAAATGCTTCACAGCAACAAAAACAAATAAATAATAACTACAGGCAACAAAATGGATGAATCTTACAAACCTGATGTAGAACAAGAGAAGACCATCCAGAGAATAAATGAATGGACTTACCGAAAAAACAGGCAAAAACAAATTGTAGTGTTTAGGGAGGCATGCTTAAGTAGTAAAGCTCTGAAGGAAAGCACAGAAAAGGAGGCTAAAAAGAATGACAACTTAATGCAATGAAGAATCTTGGATTGAAGCCTAGATTTTTTTTCTTTTAAAGTAAACATGTAGGACATAAGATAGCTAACGAAATCTGAATATCAACTGTATATGAAATGACAGTATTCTATCCATATTAAATTTCCTGAATCTGGTAACTGTATCGTGATTACATAAGAGAATATCCTTGTTCTTAGAGGATACATATTGAAATATTTTAGGGTAAAGGGTCCTGTCTTCAATTTATTCTCAGATAGTTCAACAAAAATAATTACAATAAGGGGGGGATAGAAAAAAATAAAGCAATTGTGGCAAACATTAACTAGTAAATATTGATGAGGGGTAACTGAGTGTTTACTGTATTCTTGCAATTGGAAGTTTCAATTTTTTTCAAAATAACAACAAAAAGTATTAAATAAAAAAAAAAAAAAAAGGACCTAACTCTCACATATGCCTATATAAGGGTAACTTGTGGGATGAAGGCAGACCAGGAGTAAGCAAAGAGGGGCTTCTAAGGAAACGGTTATGTTCTGTTTCCTAACCTGGGTACAGGTTACACAGATACACATTTGTGTTTTGTGCATTTTTCTACATGTGTGTTATATTTCACAATTTAAAATGAAAATGTTTATATGCTCTTATTCTTCCCAGCATATGTATGATGTGCAGTTATCTGCCTAATGTTTGTAATACCCTCTTAACTGAAAGTCTCTCATCCAAGTACTAATCAGGCCCGACCCTGCTTAGCTTCCGAGATCAGATGAGATTGGGCACGTTCAGGGTGGTGTGGCCATAGACTCTTAACTGAAAGTCTTATGTGGGCAGAAACCATGTTTCTCTTATTTACTACTGTCTGAAACAAAGTAGGCAATAATATTTGTTGAATGTATGAAGAAATCACAGAAAGTCTCACTTTTGAGGAATCTATCATAAAGATATAATCAGAGATGTGGGTTATGGATTTGTGAACAAGGATGTTCTGAGGAAAATCTTGGCAGCAAGATTAATACTTAAAAGGGACTGAGTAAGTAAATTATGGTCTAATACAAGGAAATATTGTGTAGTCAACATAAGGCATGTATTAAAAGAATACTTAAAAACAGAAGGCAGAGGAAAGGTTTACGAATTTTTTAATTTTTTCATTTTTTTCTAATTGTTAAAAATGTGATAAAATACATATAACATAAAATTTACTATTTTAACCATTTTTAAGCATATAAAGTTATATTAAATACATTCACACTGTTATGCAACCATCACCACCATCCATCTCCAGAACTATTTTAATCTTGCAAGATTAAAACTCTGTCCCCACTAAACAACTCTCCATTCCCCTTTCCACTCCCCTAGGTGGCCACCATTCTGCTTTCTGTCTCTATGAATTCGACTTGTCTAGGAACCTCATATAAGTAGAATCATACAGTATTTGCCCTTTTTGTGACTGGCTTATTTCACTCAGCATAATGTCCTCGAGGTTCACCTATATCATATGTCAGAAATTCATTCCTTTTTAATGCTGAATAATATTCCATTATATAGACATATCAGATTTTGTTTATCCATTCATCCCTCAACAGACACCGTTCTTCTACCTGTTGGCTACTGTCAATACGCTGCTATGAACGTGGGTATACAAATATCTGAGACTCTGTTTTCAACTGTTTGGGGTTGAAGTGGAATTGCTGGATCATATGGTAATTTTATTTTTAATTTTTTGAGGAACCGCTCGCTGGACTTCTCCATAGTGGCTGCACCATTTCACATTCCTACCAATAGTACACAAGGGCTCCAATTTCTCCATATCTTCACCAACACTTATTTTCTGTTTTTTATTTTTTTAAATAGTTAAGGACTCATGCACTTTTAATTTTTTTAAAAAATCAAAACACAAAACTATAAATGTTATAATCCCAATCTCATTGTCTTTTTTTCTAGAGACAGGGTCTTACTCTTTCACCCAGGCTAGAGTGCAGTGGCTCAACCATAGCTCACATAGCCCTGAACTCCAGGGCTCAAGCGATCCCTCTCCCTCAGCCTCCCAAAGTGCTGGAATTACAGGAATGAGCCACTACATCTGGCTTCATTCTCACTTTCAAAACACCAGATTTACATACACAAGGAAAAAAGTTGGAGAATATACCAAAATGACATAAGTTAAGGCCATATCTTGGTGGGAAAATATGGAAAGGTATAAAGAATATACTTCATACTTTTCCATATTTTTCCCAGTTATCTGCCAAAAGAATGTATTCTTTAGATAACAAAAAGTTACTGAAAAATTTACTTGTTTATGACTATCCCTTACCTAATTTAGTCCTATGTAACTACAGAAAAATCAATAAATCATGGTAGAGTAAGATTCCCTTCAGATATTTTAATTACCCAAAGGCATTTGTTGTTGGCGTGAAAGAAATTTAACTCAAAACAGAATTTCAAAGAAAAATGAAGACAGGGGCATGAAAACAAAGTAGTTATGCCTAAAGTTATTTATAACAAATATTATTAAAAAGAAAATTGAGGAAACTATCTACATAGTCAATGGCAAAAAAGGGAATCTTTCATCAGCTATGTGGCTTCTTTTCAGAAAGTGTTTTTAACCATCATTGCCTAGTCAATAGTTTTTTCTTCTGTCTCAAGAAAAGGCTTTTCTCCAAATGCAATCTTACCCAAAACCCTGTACAAATCAGAAAAGTAACGTTTCTCTGCCTAAGGCAGAGGCTAGATAACCTGTACCCTAACCTGGGTGCAGGTTACACAGATACACATTTGTGTTTTGTGCATTTTCTACATGTGTGTTATATTTCACAATTTAAAATGAAAATGTTTATATGCTCTTATTCTTCCTAGCATAAACCTAACATTAAATATGTATTACCCTCTTAACTGAAAGTCTTATGTGGGCAGAGACCATGTTTCTCTTATTTACCACTGTCTGAAACAAAGTAAGCAATAATATTTGCCGAATGTATGAAGAAATTACAAAAAGCCTCACTTCTGAGGAATCTATCACAAAGATCTAATCAGAGATATAATCAAAGATATAACCAGCTCAGCCTACCCTAAACCCTTGTGAATCACTGTTATATAACCTGAGCACTGCAGAAAAAATAGTATAAAAGCCAAAACAACTATCTTGAACTGCTTCATCCAATATATATAAGCTGTTTCTTATGCCATTATCCAGTACGGACATTTTCTCTATCCCCTATTAAGAATCAACACACACACATACATAACACACTGTACCCTATCACCATGTACTACATAATTTATGCTAAAAAACTGAGGACCAGTTCCCTTTACCTGGAGCAGTGGATCTCACTGGTGGGGTCTTTCTCTTTGCCAAGAAGTTTCTCAGTTGTGCCTGTTTCATGGTAGACAGTTTAGCTGTAAGAAATTCATGATAAATGCTTAAGACTTAGTTTTTAAGATGTCAGTAATTTGAAGAGAATAAAGAAAACTAAAAGACTGGGAGAGATGCATTTACCTGGTACTCTGGGCAAAGGTTTGGTGTGACTTTCTATGGTGGTTTTCAACAAAGCATTGCGAAGGCTCTCAAGATCACTGTCAAAACTGAAACAAGACAGTGTTATGTACAGACCACTTGGGAGATGAGAGATCTGAGGCTGTGGGGGTATACTATTCTTCTAAATATAAATGTAAGAGATGAGACCATCCCCAATATATAAATATGCCAGCTGACCAACCAAGACACTCAATCCAAAAGGAGACCCCAAACTCAGTATTATGTACCACCTCCCTATCAAACACCCCACTATAGAATCTCAGTACAAATGGCAATTACAATTTACATATTTGGCCTAAAAGCGGAATCACAAAGTCACCTTTGGTAACGTTAAGGGTAAACTACTTGCCAGACAATGAAAGTCTCCACACTGAAGCAGAACGACAAATCTGGGCTTCAGACATAGTCAGTAAGCCTGATCCCATCTGCTGATTTTCAGTAACACAACACTACTACTATAGTACCTGCTGTGATACACTGAGCACCTGTTTCATCAGGCACAATACTAGGTGCTTTACAGACTTAATTTGACTCTCCAACAATCTCATGAGGCAGGTATGATCACTCCTGTTTTTTAGGCAAAGGAGCAAAGGATCAGAGAGGGCAAGGAACCTGACCAGGATCACAAAGGTAACAGACAGCAGTCACTTTCAAACCCACATCTGAACTACTCTAAGATTGCCTCACATCACTCCCCAAATATTTATTCATGCATTTATTCAACCATACGTATTGAGTGTAAGTTATGTGAACACCTGTGAGTGCTGCTCTGGGAAGGACCAGCTGAGGGGAGGCTCCATGGGGAAGTCTGGTTATATAGACGGAGCTGCTGGAGACTATCCACCAGGTGATTCAACCGCTTCCTCTGCTGGTTGATGATTTCCCGGTTGTTGGCGAGGGTGTTAAATAGTGTCTCTCGCTCTGGCACGAGCAGGTGCCTGTTGACAGCAATGAGAAAAGAATTAAATGCGAATGGTTTAAGTAAAGGAACCCTCTATGATAAACTAAACTACAACAATAGCAGTAAAAACAATAAACTGGAGAAAGGACTAATCATATTAATCAAATGTAGGTATTTCAGAAATCTAATATTTTAGGGCTGATCTGGTTTTCAAATTTCTTATGGACACTTCATGCTCTCACAGTGTATTGCATTCTATTCCTTCCAGAAAGTATGTGGCATAAAACCAAATATCTAGGGATCAAAGACTAGACGAAAAGTTTTCCCATTCCTTTGCCATCATTCCTCTCCTCCTTTTAATGATCCACACTAATTACAAATGTTTTCTCAAAAGAAAATTTGGAACATATAATATAAAAAAGCATAAAGGAAAATTTCCTTTTTTTTTTTTTTATTTCGGCATATTGTGGGGGTACAGATTTTAAGGTTTCAATAAATGCCCATTTCCCCCCCTCCCCCCAAAAGTCTGAGTCTCCATCATGACCATCCCCAGATGGTGCACATCTCACTCATTATGTATGTATATACCCGCCCCCGGAAAATTTCCTCTTAATCCTACCTTGTAGATATAACTGAATTTTTCTGAGACTGAGTCTCTCTGTGTTGCCCGGGCTAGAGTGCTGTGGCATCAGCCTGGCTCACAGCAACCTCCAACTCCTGGGCTCAAGCAACCCTCTTGCCTCAGCCTCCGGAGTAGCTGGGAATACAGGCATGCACCACCATGTCTGGCTATTTTTTTTCTATATATTTTTAGTTGTCCAGCTAATTTCTTTCTATTTTTTTAGTAGAGACGGGGTCTTGCTCTTGCTCAGGCTGGTTTCAAACTCCTGACCTTGAGCAATCCTCCCGCCTTGGCCTCCCAGAATGCTAGGATTATAGGTGTGAGCCACCACACCCAGCCATAACTAATATTTTGATAAATTTATTTATTTCCAGTCTCTCTTTTATTTTTTTTATTTTTTTCAGTGTAGGATTAGATTTGACCACATCAGGCAGTCTCTTTGCTATGTACCCTCCAATTGAGATTTTTGTCTTACTTTTTTATGTATTTTATATTTTATATAATGTATCATAATTATCATGACATAATTATATATTTTATGTAACAAAAAATGTATTTAATACAATTTTTTTGAAAGCATGCTCTTCGATGGTTACAAAGTATTCTGTAGTAAGAAAAAAATTAGGTTGAATGAAATTTTTCACAATGATAAATTGTGCTGGAATATAAATTCTTCTATGTAAATTACCGTGAGCATCACTTGTTATTTCTGTAGAAAAAATTACTAGAAGTAGAATGACAGAAAGAATGAATGTATGCAGAGATTTTTATACCTGCTCATAAATCATCTTTTAAAGAAGGCAACAGGCCGGGCGCGGTGGCTCACGCCTGTAATCCTAGCACTTTGGGAGGCCGAGGCGGGCGGATTGCTCGAGGTCAGGTTCGAAACCAGCCTGAGCGAGACCCTGTCTCTACCAAAAATAGAAATAAATTAATTGACCAACTAAAAATATATATACAAAAAGATTAGCGGCATAGTGGCGCATGCCTGTAGTCCCAGCTACTCGGGAGGCTGGGCAGTAGGATCGCTGAGCCCGGAGATTGAGGTTGCTGTGAGCCAGGCTGCGCCACGGATCACTCTAGCCTGGGCAACAAGTGAGACTCTGTCTCAAAAAAAAAAAAAAAAAAAAAAAAAAGAAGGCAACAGCAATATCTACTCCAACCCACTGTGGGTAAGAGATCTCACTCACCTTTGTTTTTTCTTTTGTTCCAGATGCCGATCCATTCCAAGTCTAGAACATCATTCACATCTTGGACAGCAAATTTCACATACTGATGAAGGCGCCGAATTTCCTACAAGAAAAAATTAAAAGGCAAATGACTCCTTTTTTGGTAGCTTGGGTAAGATCTATCAAAACAGTTAAAATTAAAAGAAAAAAACAGCTAAAATAATTCTGAAATATTTCTATATTGGGAACCATATTGAACAAGGAAACATAATAGATTGTAATATAATCATTACAATGTTATAATTAAAATGAAAACAGAAAATTAACTTAATAGTGTGACAGGGAAGTGGTACAAAGAAAAGGAAACAGAATGGGTGTGTCTGGCTCGGGCCCCTGGGAATAAATGTTCTTGCTGTTTTCATTTTTCAGCTCCTGTAAAATATCTCAACATGGTCTGGAACTTTACACTGTATTCTGGTACTCAGACAGTCATCCATTTAGTTTTGTTCTCCCATCCATGAAATTAACTATATATATAGACAAAATTATCCTACAAAACAGTGTTGAAAATTTCTAAACCTATCTATTCACAGAATAAACATTAAGTCATCCCACCAATTGCGAAATACTAATTTGTTCTTAACCACTTCGGTACCGTGCTCACCAGCTGTGAAACTTGCCACAGCCGCACTCACAGTCCGCACAATAGTTGTGCTGTGCATTGACAACGAATCTGTTTGCTCTTGTGTGATGAGGAAAGCTTTAAAACACTGAAAGCAGTGCTTTTTAAAAATTTGACGTTGATACTTGTTTTCCTTAGTTTGGGGCTTTTAAAAAGTAAATAAATATTAATGTTAATGTTAAAGAAAAAAAAACACTGAAAGCTTGTTTTACTTTACAGGCAGCTTTACTTGTAATGTAAACAGAATAGGCAAATATACATATATGTTTTCATTACGTTTATATTTGTTGTTTTTATTTATTTATTTTGAGACAGAGTCTCACTTTGTTGCCCAGGCTAGAGTGAGTGCCGTGGCATCAGCCTGGCTCACAGCAACCTCAATCTCCTGGGCTCAGCGATTCTACTGCCTCAGCCTCCCAAGTAGCTGGGACTACGCGCCACCATGCCCGGCTAATTTTTTGTATATGTATTTTTAGTTGGTCAATTAATTTCTTTCTATTTTTGGTAGAGACGGTCTTCTCTTTCAGTGGTTTCGAACTCCTGACCTTGAGCAATCCGCCCGCCTCGGCCTCCCAAAGTGCTAGGATTACAGGCGTGAGCCACCGCACCCGGCACGTTATGTTTAAATGTTCACAGTTTATTTTGATAAATGAAAAATTAGAAAAGTCATATCGCAGCTGTTGGCTCAAGCTGCTGTGTGAGTTCATCTGTGGCTGTCAACTACAGTCGACGTTGGTCCCAAAGTGGTCATAAACAAAAAATAGTATAAGCACTAAAAACCAATTTATTATTAAAATTTAAAAATTTTTAATAATAAATTGGTTTTTAGTGCTTGTACTATTATTAAAATTCTTAACTATTTAACTTATTTTAGGCCTACAATAATTATCTTTAAATTTTAGGCCATTAACCTTCTTGGCTATGCAACTGACTCTCAAAAGTTAAAAACAGAGCCAGGTATGGTGGTGTGTGCCTGTACGCCCAGCTGCTCGAGAGGATGAGTCAGGAGGATCGCTTGAGCCCAGGAGTTGCAGGCTGTAGTGCACTACGATCATGCCTGTAAACAGCTACTGCACTACAGCCTAGGCAACATAGCAAGATCCTGCCCTGAAAAAAAAAATTAAAAAGATGAAACATTCAATTCAGAATGTATTCAAATGAAGATAAAGTGCTACACACTAAAAAAAGATCTTTACATATGTATAAAGATCTTATTAGGTTTAAGTGTATTTTCAAAATTATTTGTGAATAAGGGTCTATTCCCAACTGTAAAAGAGAAAATATTTAAAAGGAGCCATACTGATTCAAGGGCAGTAGCAGTGACCTTAGGAGCCAAATATAAATTTCTACTCAATACATGATGATGATAGGGGCTCTTTCCTTTGACCATTTCATACGTGGTCACACCTCTGTATTATCTGATGCTGTTTCTTCTGAATGCCCTCCCAATTGTGTCCACCAGCAAAAAATCAATTCTTCTTTTAAGGCCTATCACAAATATTTCTTTTTAGCTGGGCAAGGTGGCTCACATCTGTAATTCTAGCACTCTGGGAAGCCAAGGTGAGAAGACTGCTTCAGGTCAGGAGTTTGAGACCAGCCTAAGCAAGAGTGAGACTCCTATCTCTACAAAAAATAGAAAAAGAATTAGCCAAGAGTCATGGTGTGTGCCTGTAGTCCCAGCTACTCTGGAGGCTAAGGCAAGAGAATCATTTGAGCCCAGGAGTTTGTTGCTGTGAGCTAGGCTGACACCACGGCACTCTAGCCCAGGTGACAGAGCAAGTCTGTCTCAATAAAAAACAAAACAAACAAAAACCCAACAACAAAAAAACCCCAAATACTTCTGTGGCTTAGCTGCTCCCTCACCTGTGGTCCCATAGCAACACATCCCACATTAAATTTATATGTTCATCTTTCTCACTGTCACTCACACAGCTGTAGGAATTGTACCATTGTAGCCTAGCCATTAAGAGCACAGGCTCTGGAGGCAGACTGCTCAGGTCCAAGATTACAGGATTTATTAGTGGTAAAACCCAAGCAGTTTGTTATCTTGGTTTCCTCATCTTTTCTTTACACATAGTAGGCCCTCAATATATGTTATCTATTATTACCTACTTAGCACCATGAAAAAACTTCCTTTTGAATGGGGACAGTGTCTCCCAAAAGCTGTATGCTTTCCTATTAGTTTGGCAATAGAGCAAGAGGCGGAAAAGGCATGTAGGAAGAACACGTAACTAGGATGCAGCATGGCTACCTATAATTTGATGAGCAATAGGCAGGCAGTCAGCACTCTGTTGCTATGGCAACATCCACAGTGGAGGGAGGCTGCATCAAGAATACCAGAGGGCTGCGGAAAACAGCAGGGGCTCCTCAACCTTTCAGGGAGAAGGGACTGTTTCTCTCATTTTCTGGCTGTCAGTAAGTTTCATCTCAAGCGTGGGAAGAAAACAGTGGGAACAGTAAAGTCCATAGCCTCAAATTCGTTAAAGCAGGAGGAACTCGTCACACTCACAGTCCCCAGGTCTAAGGTGAAGAAGACCAGAGCTGCCCATGCACCCTGCCCACCAGGATTCTAGGCAAATGTGAGAAGGTGGAAGAGGACTCCTTCACTAAGGCTAACGACACAACGATTTTGGATAAACTGAAAGATGGAAAACAGATTAGCTTTAGCGGAGACTAAATAATTAACCCTTTGCACTTGGATGTCGAGTGTGGATAATGTCGAGTAGATAATGAGAAAAAAGCAAGTGAGCGCAAAGGGTTAAGAATTAACGAGAAAAACAAGTTTGCTACAGTATGGCATATAGGAAAGAGCCCAGGCAGATGGAGATTTCAATTCTGGTTCTGGCTACTCTTAGTAGCCAGCCAATGTGACAACCTTAGGTGAACTACTTAGCCTAGGAAACTCAATTTCCTCATCTGCACAATGGAATCATAACTCTCACCTTGCAGAGCAGCTGGCTTTGAAGACTAGAAACGATGCATAAAAACACTTAGCAGATTACCTGGCACTCAAGAAATACTTGCTACTTTATTATTATTCATGACTTGATTTATGAATATATGTTTCAGTAGAATACTCTCTGTTAAATTTAAGGTTTAATAAAGAATTCTACTTTTTTTAATAAAAAAATTTAAAAAGTGTGCCATTTTCTTTGCCATAGTTAAGGAAGTTTATGGAAAGTGTGGTATATTATAAGCAGAACATCAACAACTTCATGAGGGGCCATCATCCAAACCCATACCTACAAAAAGAGCAACTGGCACATTAGTTTGTTTTAAATCTTTTCAATAGCTTTAAATAGATTCTCCTACCTGAAGCTGAGCTTCACTCTTGGGATCCAGTGGTCTTTTGTAAAGTAAATGGAGATATCCAGAGTCACAATTTCTTTCATTTTGTTCTCGGGCTTCTTCAACACCAGCAAAGCCCTCGAGTAAAGTTGTTTTCAGGGTACTTATATCTCCGTGAAGAGACTAGAGAAGGTACAAGAATGTACTGATACCAAAAAAGTCTAATTTCCAAGCAATAAAACCTTTCTACTAGATCAAGGAAGATGGTATTTCTCAAATATTTATTAACAAGATGACTATCTGAATACATTTAAGTCATATAAAAAAGAGAATTCTATTGCTTGGACAGAAAGATAACTAATTTTTTAAAAATTATTTTTTGTCCTCATTAAAAAAACATATTCTAATGATTGAAAACTCAGAAAACATAAAAGTACTGACAGTACACATAATCCCTCTACCTGAAGACAATCACTGCTATCAGTCTAGAGAAATTTCCTCTTTCTAAGCATGTTCTTTAAGACATGGAAATAACATGGAGTTAGACTGTGGAGCCAGACTGTTGAAACGGGATCTAGCACTACCACTCACTAGATGGGTGACTTTCAACGAATTACTTAATCTTTCTAAGCCTCAGTTTCCTGACTTACAAAATAGAGAGTGCACTAGTACATACAACACAGAAAGTGATAAGGATTCAGTGAGAAAATACACTGAAAAGTGTTTAGCACAGTGCCTGGGGCACAAAGTAATAATAATAGTAACAATAAATAACACTATTAACAACGAATATTTAATATTTTTAAAATTGCATATGCTCTAAAATATTCAGCTTTTCTTTTTTACCTAACACTACCAAAGATACTAAGTTTTGAAGTATACCCAAACTAAATTAATTATAATAAACTTTACAGAGTACCTATGTATCAAAGGGGTAAAAATTATTATTCCATCTTACAGATAGGAAAACTGAAACAGTGGCTAGATTAACTTGCCCCAAACCACATAATTTATTATTGAGTGCTGAAGACAGGATCTGAACTCAGGTATTTCTATGTAAATTACTCAGCCACATTAAAAACACATAAACACGCAGTGGTGGTCCTTGAAGAGATAAAGCATATGTGCTCATGGAAAACTAGGAGAACAATTTCTAAAAATGCAACTCAATTCAGAAAAAACATCCATAAACACAAACCTCCGTAGTCTCTTTAATCTCCAGAAGGAAGGTGTGCAGGTCACCTGACTCTGTCCGCAGCATCTTCATCTCCTCAGGAGTGCCCACCTGGAAACAGGCTTTGGAAGTTCGGGCTTTCAACTCTTCCAGCTCCTTCTGAAAGTGTGCAATCTGTAGAAGCCAAAAACGAGGAACCACTCAGGCTGAATGGCACGTAGCTATGTCACTGCTACTGTGCTTATTAACAGCTCAGACTCCTGGAATGGGCCAAGCTTCAATGTGGAATAAACTAGTCATATTGGGAGTTTGTACTCAGAGCCATCCAAATCTCACTATCAGAACCATTTCTGGAAAAAAATCCTTAAGAAACAAATTTACCTCCTCCCCAATTCCAGCCATCACAGGATCTGAATCTTTCCACTGATTTCCCTGCTTTTCTGTAACAGGAGGCTGAAGTGACTTTGCCTGAAACAGAAGGCAAAAGGTTTAAAAATGGATCCTATAACTACAAGTTACATCTTCTAGAAGGAATCACATCAGTGCCTACCACAGCGAGCAGCACTCTCATAATACAGTCATTATTCTACCATTCATTCTTTTGAACTTGTATTTACTGGGTCTGTACTTTGTATAAGGTATACTCTAGACAGTAGAGATAGAGGTGAATCAAATACCATACTTTAATGGAACCTACCTTCTACTGAGACAAGATAAATAATAAAAAGTAAACACATTAGATAATTTCAACTGGTGAATAAAAAGGAAAACATAAGGAATATAAAAGGGGGCATCACTTCAGATAAGATGGCCAAGAAAGCCCTCCTGTGGGCTGCCATCTGAACAAAGACTGCAGAAGTGGGGAAGGAAACTACGGGAAGATCTAGAGGAAGCACCTCCCAGGCAGCGAGAAGACCAAGTACAAAGACCCTAAGGCAGGAGAGACCTCGGTGCGTCTGAGGCAAAGACAAGAAGTAAATGCAAGCTCTGTGATGTCAGGGTGGGCACTGGAGAGGACAGGATGGGATCAGGGAGGCAGGGGCAGGTCATGTAAGGCCATACCAAGAGGTTTAGATTCTATTCTAGGTATGTCAGAAAGCTACTATAAGTGTGTTAGGAGAGTTTAAGTGATGATTTGATATATGATTTAAAAGAGCCCTATTACTGCTACCTAGAGTAGACAAGGCAGTAAAAGCAGTCAAGAGGTTAATGAGGTGAGAGATGCCAATGGCCCAACATAGGACATCAGCAGAGGGACAGAGCTATGGACTTATGACACAGCAGAGGGTGGAGCCGACGAGATCCCCTGCTAGCCTGGACTTGGGGAAGGTGCTATTAAAGGAAAGAGAGGAATCCAGGATGCTTCCGGGTGTGGGGCTTGTGAAAAACCTAGCTTATTAGTGCTACTACCTGAGATGGGAACGCTGGAGAAAGAATAGTTTCTGGGGAGATAGAAATCAAGAGTTCTGCTTTACAGATATTATCCTTTGAGGTACCTTTTAGACTATTTGATACCTACGACAACTAACATTAGAGAGGTCTTAGATTGACTGTACCAGCATTCATTAAAACAACAAACATGGCCAGGTGCTCATGCTTGTAATTCAAGTGCTCTGGGAGATAAAGGTGGGAGGATCACTTGAAGCCAGGAGTTCAAGACCAGCCTGAGCAATATAGTGAGCTCTCCATCTCTACAAAAAAAGTTGTTTCTTTTTTTTTTTTGAGACAGCAACTCATTCTGTCACCCAGGTATACTACCGTATTGTCATCATAGCTCACTGCAACCTCAAACTCCTGGCTCAAGCAATTCTCCTGCCTCAGCCTTTCAAGTAGCCTGGACTACAGGTGTGCACCACATCTGGTTAATTTTTCAAGTTTGTGTAGATATAGGATCTTGCTCTTGCTCATGCTCATGCTCATGCTGGTCTCAAACTCCTGACCTCAAGCAATCATACTGTCTGTGCCTCCCAGAGGGATAGGATTACAGGCATGAGCCACTGTGACCGGCCAAAAATTTTTCAAAAAGTTAGCCAGTGTAGTGGTGCAACACTACACAGTGTTTTTTTGAGACTGTCTCAAAAAAACAAACAAACAATCCCCACCCCGGAAACCAGCAAACATTTATTTCACAAAATTGTGTTACACATCATGCCACAAATGTGAACTGTGACCTGGGTATTTACTGTGTGTCCAGTGTGGGTGCGTGTTGGGATTGCAGGGGACTGGGGGAGATCAGTTAAGGGGACACAGAAGGAAAAGACGTGACTCCTGTTTTCAGGGCACTCAGATAATCGGATGGGAAAATTGACATGAAAAGTAAAATAATAATGCTTTTAAAAAAGCATGGGAAAGTATCTTTTTGACCTTGGAATAGAAAATGACTTCTAAAAGAAGACATGAGAAGCATTAATCATAAAGAATAAATTGATATACTCAACTATATTAAAATTAAGAACTTGTTCAAAAGAAAACACGAAAAGAATTAACAGGCAATTCACAGTGAGAAAGTATTTGCAGTGTGTGTGTGTGTGTGTGTGTGTGTGTGTGTGTGTGTGTGTGTGTCTCTCTCTCTCTCTCTCTCTCTCCAGGGAATTATCAAAAAATCAGGAAGAAAAAGCTAGACAATGAAATAGAAAAAAAGACAAACAGACTACAGACATACCAGACACCACATAAAATATCCAAATGGCCAATAATCATATGGAAAAAAGCCTCCATTTTACTAGTCATTAGGGAATACAAATTAAAACCACAAAACACAACAACAAAAGATGAAAAATATCAAGATTGGTGAGGTTGTGGAGCCGCTGGAAGTCTTACATACTCCTGGTAAGAATCTACTGAAGAGGAAAATATGCTATGAGCCAGCAATATGCCCCAAAGAAATGTGTGCGTATGTCCATTGGAAGATATCAACTACAATGGTCATAGGAACACTATTCATAATAGTTTAACCCGAAAACCATGCAAGCGTTCATCAAAAATGGAATGAATACTTGTAATATAGTCACATGGTGAATTCCATACAGGAATGATATGGATAAATCTCACAAACATAACATCGAACAAAACAGACAGGTATAAGAATACATATGGTATGATTCCATTTGATAGAAAGTATGAGCAGGCTAAACACGTCTATGCTGTTCAAAATCAAGATAGTGGGTACCCTCTGGCAAGGGTGACCAGAAGGAGACACATCAGGGGGACTCTGTAGTTCCTTAAATCTCTGTTTCTGGATCTGGGTGCTAGTTACTAATGTGGGTTCAGTTGGTGGCAATTCACTGATCTGTACATATATCACGTGTATTCCTTTCTATGTGTATTAAATAAAATAAATTAAATAAATTGCTTTTATGAGTATACAAGTATTCAATTCTCAATAGTTTGGTATTTCCTATCACACTGTCCTTATTTCTATCCAAGGTCTGAATTCTAAAATATCAAAACCCATTTTAATATGCATGCTTGGGGCAATATATTAACAAACACAACCATTCTAAGTTGAATTTAAACATACCTGGGGAGAGCCTGACTTTGCCACTGCAGGGGTTATCCTGGGTGATTTCTGTACCATTGAGGGTACTGGGCTCGAACTGCCCTGAGCAGATCGTCCTGTTTCAATAAGAAGTCAGGTAAAACAGATGGTATTTACTCTCATTATTTCTCCCATCACAAATGTCCTTTCCCCAAATCTAAGGAATTAATTATGCATTGTCCCTGGCCCCACTTTCATGATCTTTAATAAAGAGTGATGACCACCAGTTGTGTCAGCCTCTATTTCAAGATAATAAAAAATATATATATTAAAATTTCAAAGCTAGGTGTGGTGGCACCTGTCTAGAGTCCCAGCTACTTGGGAGGCTGAGACAGAAGGATTGTTTGAGGCCAGGAGTTCAAGGCTACAGTGTGCCATGCTTACACCTGTGAATTGATACTGTACTTCAGCCTGGGTGACAGAATGAGACCCTGTCTCTAAATAAATAAATATCTCGTAGATGTGAAACCCTTTTATAAAGCAAATAAAATGGAAGGGTCTCTGACATAGGTGTGTGCATTTGTGTGCAGGGCACAGAGGTTGGCCATTTGGCCCATCCTGATTCCCCAGGGGCTCCAGATGCACTTCTGGAAAGTAAGGAGCAAAGATTAAAAACTACTAGACTAGAACAAAAATTCCCATCATCATCCTGTGAAAATTCACAGGGTCTTCAGGACCCTTTTGGAAGCCTCTAACATGCAACATTAGAGTCACCTACGGAGCTTTTTAAAAACAAGCATACCAAAGTCATACCAAGCCTCATCCCTAGGGAGTCTGATTAAAATGCTAGGCAGTAAGTCTAGTGTGCAACTGGGCCTGAGATTCAATAATTTAGGGCCTTCAAACTTTAAGAATTCACAATGGCAATGGTGGGTAGGGAGATCTGGAAAGAAAGTAAATGTGCATTATGGTTCAAGTTTTCTCTCCCAAACTGTAAAGAGATGTAAAAGACCAGGGCAATGTTTCTTAACCTCTTAGGTCACAGACAGATGTGACCCAGAGTCTGATGAAAAGACCTGGAATGTGGTGACTTTGGCAAACTTCCCAAGGCAACTCTTTCCCCTGAACGACCGGTAAGGAGCAAAGATTTCAAGAATTTTATAGCTTGTTTGCTCAATATCTACCAAAATAAAATTATTCCTGACACTCAAAAATCAAACAGCCACCCAAATATATCTGGCTAGGTATCATCACTGGCATTCATGAAAACATAGGCATGCTTCAGAGATACCGTGGCTTGGTTTCAGACCACCATAATAAATAAATATTGCGATAAAGCAAGTTGCAGAAAATTTTTGGTTTCCTAGTGCGCATAAAAAATGTTTACACTACACCATAGTCTATTAAGTACTCAATAGCATTATGTCTGAAAAAACAATGTACTTATTATACATTAATTAAAAAATGCTTTACTGTTAAAAAATGCTACTAATCATCTCTGCCTGCAGTGAGCTGTAATCCTTTTGCTGGTGGAGGGTCTTGTCTCTAATGTTGATGCTGCTGACGGGTCAGGGTGGTGGTTGCTAAAGGTTAGGGTGGCCGTGGTGACTTTTTAAAATAAGACAATGAGGTTTGCTGCATTGACTGACTTTTCCCTTCTCAAATGATTTCACTGTAGCATGAGATGCTGTTTGACAGCATTTTACCCTCAGAACTTCTTTAGAGTCAATCTTCTCAGACCCTACTACTGCTTTAGAAACTAAATTTGTGTAATATTCTAAATCCTTTCCTGACATTTTAACAATGTTCACGGCATCTTTACTAGGAGTAGACTCCATCTGAAGAAATCACTTTCTTTGCTCTTCCATAAGAAGCAACTCCTCATCTGTTCAAGTTTGATCATGAAATTGCAGCAACTGAGTCCCATCTTTAGGGTCCACTTCTAATCCAGTTCTCTTGCAATTCCCACCCCATCTGCAGTTACTTCCTCCACTGAAATTCTGAACCCCTTCAGAGTCATCCATGAGGGCTGGAATCAACTTCTTCCAGACTCCTGTTTGTATGTATATTTCTACTTCCTCCCAGTAATTATCAATGTTAATGTTGTCTAGAATGGTAAATTCTCTCCAGGTTTTCAATTTACTTTGGTGAGTTCCATCAGAAGAATTATGATCTATGGCTCCCATAGTCTTACAAAATGTATTTCTTAAATAATAAGACTTCAACATCAAAATTACTCCTCAATCCATAGGATGCAGAATGGATACTGTTTGTTAGCAGGCATGAAAACAACATTAATGTCTTTATATATTTCCATCAGACCTCTTGGTTGACCAGGTACATTGGCAATGAGCAGTAATATATTGAAAGAAATCTTTTGTTCTCAGCAGTAAGTCTCAACAGTGGGCTTAAAATATTAAGTAAATCATGCTGTAAACAGATACGCTGTCATTTAGGCTTTGTTGTTCCATTTACAGAGCACAGGCAGAGTGGATTTAGAATAATTCTTAAGGGCCCTAGGGTTTTTAGAATGGTAAATGAGCACTTGCTTTAGCTTTAAGTCACCAGCTGCATTAGCCCCTAATGAGAGTCAGCCTGTCCTTCGAAGCTTTGAAACCAGGCACTGACTTCTCCTCTCCAATTATGAAAGTCCTAGATGGCATCTTTTCCCAACAGAAGGCTGTTCTATCTACAATGAAAATCTGTTAGTACAGCCACCTTCATTAATTACCTTAACTAGATCTTCTGGATAACTTGCTGCTTCACCTTGCACTTTTATTTTATACAGATGGCTTCTTTCCCTAAACCTTATGAACCAGTCTCTGCTAGCTTCAAACTTTCCTTGTGCACCTTCCTCAACTCTCTCAGCCTTCATAGAATTGTAGAGTTAGGACCTTGCTCTGGATTAGGCTTTGGCTTAAGGGAATTTTCTGGCTGGTTTGATCTATACAGATCACTACAACTTTCTCCATATCAGCAATAAGGCTGTTTCGCTTTCTAATCATTCATGTGTTCACTGGAGTAGTATTTTTAATTTCCTTCAAAAAAATTTCCCTTGAATTCACAACTTGAGTTTTTGGGGCAAGAGGCCAAGCTTGCAGCCTATCTCAGCTTTTGACATGCCTTCCCCAGTAAACTTAATCATTTCTAGCTTTTAATTTAAAGTGAGACATATTTGACTCTTCCTTTCACTTCAACACTTAGAGGCCATTGTAGAGTTATTGACTGGCCTAATTTCAATACTGTTGTGTCTCAGGGAAAAGGGAGGCCCGAGGAAAGGGGAGAGATGAGGAATGGCCAGTCAGTGGAGCAATGGAAACACACACAACACTTATCGGTTGAGTTTGCTATATTATATGGGCAGAGTTCATTGTGCTCTAATATAATTATTACAAAGATAAGTTCACATATCACCACAGCAGAAATAATGATGAAAAAAATCTGAAACATTGCCAAAATGTGACAGATATAGTGAGCACATTTTGTTAGAAAAATAGTGTCAAAAGACTTGCTCGACAGAGTTGCCACAACCCCTCAATTTGTTAAAAAAGTAGTATCTTCAAAGTGCAATGAAACAACATACGCCTGTAACCAACTTAAAAATTAAGACAGAGCTGGCAAACACCACCTTATCCATGTGAGCAAACATAACATCACCTATATCAGGACAAAATGAAATCATGTGACTTGATGCACATCACCTCTGTGGTATTAATGCCCAAAATATTTATCTTGAATCTCACCATGTGGCAACAATCAAATCCAAATTGAGAAATGGTACACAAAACTACTGGCCTGACCTCTTCACACAAATGTCAATGAAGTGAAAGACAAAATAAGCTAAGAACTATTTGAGATTAAATGAGGAAAAAAAATAAAATAAAAAAAGCAATGTGTTATCTCTGATTGGTGGGGAACAAAAACAGCCATAAAGAACACTATTGGGACAACTGTGGAAATGTACATATGGACTGTAGATGAGATTGCTGTTAACACATTAACAGTGAGCTGTATTTAACTGACAAAAGTTTTGAGCCCAGGGCTTCGTGAAGTGTATGTAACTCACACATCTCTATCTCTTCTCCTTGGGAGCCATAAGAACTATTTTTCAAGTTGCATATAACTCATACACAGAAAACAATAAAAAAAAACAAGTTTTTCATTAAATTAGAAAGGATCATTTTGTTTTAGAAGTTTTTTTTTTTTTTTTTTTTTGAGACAGAGTCTCGCTTTGTTGTCCAGGCTAGAGTGAGTGCCGTGGCGTCAGCCTAGCTCACAGCAACCTCAAACTCCTGGGCTCCAGTGATCCTTCTGCCTCAGCCTCCCGAGTAGCTGGGACTACAGGCATGCGCCACTATGCCCGGCTAATTTTTTATATATATATCAGTTGGCCAATTAATTTCTTTCTATTTATAGTAGAGACGGGGTCTCGCTCTTGCTCAGGCTGGTTTTGAACTCCTGACCTTGAGCAAACCGCCCGCCTCGGCCTCCCAAGAGCTAGGATTACAGGCGTGAGCCACAGCGCCCGGCCTGTTTTAGAAGTTTTTATTCTATTTTCGTAATGATACATTGTGGCCCCAAGGAAAAAATTTTTTTCTAGTATGGTAGGTAATGTGTTAAATTTCTCAAGTCTGATATCTGATAACATATTGTGTGTCTTTGTTTTTAGGATATTTACACTGAAATATTTAGGGATGAAGTGTTTCATGTCTGTAATTAATTCCCAAATGTTTCAGAAAAAACTTTACATAAAAAGGTAAGAGAGAAATGGTGCAAAACGTTAGATGTGCTAAATCTCAATTAAGGGCATAGCGTTCAATATACAACTTCTGCAATCTGTAAGTTCAAAAGGAAAAAAAGACAGGCTACCTACATTTGCCCATGGAGTTTTAGCATGTACTTCAATTCAACTTGGCTATAATTATTTCTAGTCATGACCTTTATTTAATAAACTGCTTGTTTACAGTGTGACTATGAAAATACAAACACTGTCACCAGGGGCAATAAGCACAAGAGTTACTGTAGGTGCATTCTCTGCTGTGCATCTTAAGGAACTGCTCTGTAACTGCCTTGCATGGTGGGCAGGCTCCACGTGAAGATAAATACATGACAGCAAGACACTTCCTTTGAATCCTCAAGTACACTTAGCTCCATGCGAAATGTCAGAGAGGAGCCTGGCAGCCTCAAAGCCATTGCAAATCTTCCAATTCAGAGTATGAAAATCACATAAGTGTGAGATACAGGAAGCAAGAAAAAAATCATCTTTGTTAGCTAGAATTCTTAACACTGAAAGCTGTTAACCTGAGAAGGCAGGACTGAGGTCTAAAATTGTTTGTTTAAAATCATACCTGATGGTGAGGGGGAGACTGAGGACTTCAGTGACGTGGAACTGGATGATGCTGAGACAGGCGTGGGGTGGCTCAGAGGTCCCGAAACAGCTGGCTTGGAGGTGGAAGAAAATGGCAGCATCGAGGGTGTGTTCTGCGAGCTATTAACGGGAGCGGAGGTAGCCACGGCAGTAAACCTGAAAATGGCAGCCCAAACGCCTCAGAAGAGCCTGCTAGAAGATTCTTTCACACTGGTATGACAATGTCATCAAAGGATAACTTACTATCCATATTTTTTTGCCTTCAGGAAACAAACAATCAGCTATTTGTTATAAAAGGTGAAAGTTGCAAGGAAACATACTATCTTCTGCTTATTTAGGAATGGATTATTCAACTAAAATATCAAGTACTAAACATGAAGATGAAACTAAGTTTATCATGATATAAAATACTTATTTTCTACTCTATCCAGCTGAGTAAAAAAAAGAAGGAGGGTGGTGGGACTCAATCATGCAAAGGAGAGTTGAATACTTTTCTTTACCAAGGAAATTATTGAGAACTCATTTTGGGGGACAATCACTTTCTCTGGGGAATGAAAAAGGAAGAGGAAAGCAGAACACTATTTTTAGGATGTTTATGGTCTAAAGGGAATGTAAAGTTAGTTCCACCTAAAGAGCAAAAACCTATTAGCAATCCAAATACATAGCATTAGATGACTGGTCAGATAAACTGTGGTGCAGTCAACAAAACAGAGCCCTCTACAACCATTAGAATGAAATGGCTTGTGTGCGATCCAACATTAACAGTAACAGTGACACCAGCAGGACCACCACAGCAATAGGTAAGCAGGGGAAGAGCTGGCAGTGTTTATACTCGGTTTGGGAGGGGTCACAAGATACAAGCTCAAGAAGCTTACATTCTAGTTGGGAGAGAACAAAATAAGCAGATAAAGAAGTAAATAAAAGAGCTATGAGTGAGCTACAGGACCTAGATCTAGAGGAAACTGGATACCATGCTAAAGATTTGGATTGTAGTTGAAAAGAAGGGAGAAGCCACCAGGGACTGGTCAAGCAGGAGAGTCACCTACTGTATTTACAATTTCACAGATCACTTTGGTGGTTCACAGATAACAGTTCAGATAGAGTCAAGGGTAGACACAGGAGGGGGACTATAGGGGATTCATTTCCCTTCCAGGATGTATATTCTGGATTGTTTCCTTTTAAAAAATAAGGAATATCTCCTACATTTATAATGTGGAAAAGCAAAACAAGTATTTAAATATAAATTTCTAGAGGTCAAAAAAATACAACACTAGCTAAGAGACCCTTTTTGACTCTGTCCACTGATGAAATGCAAGCTTCTTACATTGGTTGAATTTTCACCATTTGCAAGTATTACTTTAGGTAAAAAATTCTATTTAGTAACTCCACTCACAGTGATTCCACTTCCAGCAAACAACATACAATATTTCTATCTATATAACAAAAGAATCAAACTTTCAAAGTGACTTACTTTTCGCTAAGGTTGACCTTGACTGTAGAGGCTGAGGGTGGGAAGGAGGGCTTCATTGTTAAGTTTGGAGCAGACACACTTGGCACTGGTGTGCTTTCCAGGGTAGGCTTAAAACCCGATGATCCAAAGGAGAATGAAGCAGCTGATGGGGCCATGGGTGACACTGCAGGGGTCGGGGGTAGGGAGGCTTTAGAAAGAGGAGCAAAAGAGAAGGTTGATGTACCAGAGCCCAGGGCTGCTTTGGAATTGTCAGCGCCACTGGAATATGAAGGGGGCTCCCCAGTGGCGGAAGCAGATGATTTCAAGGATGAAGCACCAAAGGAGAACACAGCAGGGGCTCCCCCAGCAGGAAGCAAAGAGAAGGTGGCGACAGGAGCAGCAGGTGACGAAAGTGGCACTGAGGCAGGGGCTGCAGATGCCAAAGAATCAAGTTTCTGTGGGGCTTGAGAGGAGGTCGGGGTAGTGGGAGTACTTCCTATAATGGAAAAAAAGGAGAAAAAGAAATGAAAAAGTTAACACTACACCTAATAGTGATGGTCCCTATAACAGAAAGCAAGTGAAAAGGAGTTTGTGGTAGAACAAAGCCAGAAATGATCCTAGTTCAAGAAGCAAAAAAAAAAAAAAAAAAAGGTGGGAATAGAGTTAATGTCAGACTTTCCACATAGGATAAGATGTATGAAACTTACATCTTGTACCACAAAAGGAAATGGGGAAAGACATTGGACTAGTAGGACTTCATGGACATTCAACTAAATAATACAGGAGAAATACACTTCTCAATGTTACTGTGGCCCACAACACAGTGAAAAATAAGTCATTCTGCAACATTTCGTTAACAATCAGGAACTCTTTTTAATCCAGACGCTACCTCATAATGTTCACTATAGGCAATTCCAGGTGAATTAAAGATATATACGTATATAGAAAAGCACATATATACATACATCTCAAAACAAAGAAGGCAAAAAGTGAATTAGTGTATGTTAGGTCTCTGAGAGTCTAACAACTCTATAAATTTATAAGTGACAAAAAAATCACAAAGAAGGTTAAGATTTGTATAAAAAAATACTTAGGCATGATAAAATAGCTAAAAGGTAAATAAACTAAAAAGATCTGTAGCAAATGACAAATATGTCTTCTAGTTTTAAAAATGCTCATACAAGTTGAGATTAAAAAATTTTAAGACTCTAATGATTACAAGGTAGGAACTTAATTCACACATAAAAAACATATTCAATCTCCCTGTTATCAAAGAAACATAAACTGAAATGAGGAACATTTTTGATTGTCCTCTAAATTATCAAAATTAAATATGTATAATCCCCTATGTTTGGATAGGTAAAACTAACCTGAAACTCTTTATCACTGGTAGGTAACTAATTTAGCATGGTTTTTTAGAAAGCGCTTCGGCATTGTATCTTAATAATCATAAAAAGTAGACCTGGTAGTTCTTTTTCTAAGAATAAAGCCTATAAAAATAATCTAAAAATGAAAAAGACATTTAATACAATCCAAATGGTAAAAAAAGTCAATGGAATATTAAGAAATCACTTTTTTAAATGAATCACAAAGATTACATAAGAACCTAGGAAATCCTTACAATTTAAAACCAGCATACCAATTATGTACACATTATGATTACAACTATGAAGAAAGATGCTATACCCTGGGCAACAGAGTGAGTCTCAAAAATAAATAGACAGACAGGCAGACAGATAGATAGGCTTTGGTTCTTCCAGGTTAGCTGAAATGACAGTTTATGGAAAATACTATATCTAAAGCAATGAAATATCTGGATACACATATGCCAATACCACTTTCTGAAAGCAAAGACTCAAGTAAATTGTCACTTTAATGAAAGTATAACAATGCAAGCAAATCTATCCTGTTAATATTTCTTTTATACAATACATATGGAACCAGTAACAGCTAACTTCTTTAAAGACACAAAAACATTAATAATAAACACTTTCATTCATATCAGTAGACCAACAAATACATACTGGACTCTAAAGAAATCACAGGCATTTTTCCACCAAAAATGGAACTGATTATTTGAAAATGGTCACTCCACTACTACTTCTGCTCATTCAGTGCAGAATCCTTGGAGCTGAAGTGCAGAAAGGGATGGAACCATCAATGGTCCCTTTCTACGCTTCAGCTCCAAGGAATCTGTACCCATTCTTCTGAACCTATGACCCAGGCTTCAGCTAGACTTGGAGGGCTGACAGGATAGATTTTCTCCCTCTTCAGAGGCTCTCTTCTACTTGCTGGAACGTGACTATAACCTCTGGACCAACCATGGGGGAAGAGGGTAGTTTCTCTAGGAAAGGCTAACTGACGTGTGGCTGTGCTCCAGTGTTTAATGGGCTAGTAGCTAAGTCACTCACACTGAAACAAACTCAGAAACAAACTTTATCCCACAGGCTCCCAACTTCATGTGCCGTACTGCTTGTTACAGACAGACCAGGAAATTGGGTATAGGTAGTTCATGGCTCTCATGACCACTTAAGGGGGACTCAAAGAGCATACTTACTATGGAAAATGGGACATCCTGATACACCACTGGTAGAATCTATGCATGCCATCTGGTATTGCTTGGGGTGCGCACTGCCAGTGGTAGGGCCCAGGTATCTGAGTGGCTGGGCTGTGTTTATTAAGCACAACTCACTCTGCATTGGGAAGCAGTGAGAAAATATGCCCTAAGTATTGTCAACCTTATCTAAACCAACTGATCAATGTACTTTTTCTTAGATATGGATCTGATCATACTAGAAGAAAAAAATGTTAGTTATATACTCACAGAATTCAAAGAGAAATATTAGTGAAATTCTAACATATGAAACAATGCCCTTTTTAAAGTATAGTTTCTTTTCACGTGATACAATGTTACTGTGAAAATTTGAAAAATACAGATTAACATTTATACATGTATATTTCATTTGTATGAAGAATATGTACCAAAATGTTGACTGTGGCTATTACTTGATGACTGATGAGCTTTAAGTGATTTTGTTTTTCTCCAATAAACATGTATTACTTAAGTAATCTTTTCAAAAAGGAAGAAAAAGCAAACCTAAAAAAAGTAAAATTTAAACCAAAAAAATTAAATCCCCATATTCCCACTACCCAGAAATAACCACTACTTAGATTTTAATACCCATCTTTCAAGTACTTTTCTATGTGTCTTTTTCTCATAAAAAAGGGATCACACAGCATATAGGGCTTTTTCATGACATATTCCACTAACGCATTGTCAATAAATATAACATTGTTAACAGTTACATGGCATTTCACTGTATGAATGTAAAATCATTTATTTAACCAATCCCCCATGATTAAACACAATTGTCTTCAGGATTCAGACCATGTAATAGGTCTTACAATAGGATATTATTGGTAAGTAACCTGATGGGATCCACTTGGCTGACCTTCCTTTTTCTTTAAAGTAATAGCTGAAAAATGAAGCTGGGGGTGAAGGAAGGCAAGCATGTACGTGTGTTCAAAAAAAGACATGTCCATGCCCTCCTGAGATAGACTGGCCTGGTTAAGATAACAACTATGCATCCGTACACCATTTTCATTCTTGGAAACTCCCCTGAGCAAGCCCACGACACTCCCTGACCGATAAAGCAGGCAGAGGTACGTACCTAGTGACTTGGGCTGTCGCTCTCCTTCTAAAGAAAGGCGCTCTGGTGTCTTGATGAGGGACTTAACCCCAGGATTTTGATTGATCATGTAAAATGGACAAAGCACACCATCTGTTGAAAGTAACATGAGAACTGGAGCAGGAGGAAGAGTCTTTTCATCACCTGTTAAAAAAGAAAACAAAGGTGACAAAAGAACCAAGGCAAGTTGAGGGCCTGGGCCTGGAAGGTAAAGACTATGCTACACAAGAAGAGGGCTTGAGGGACCTCATCCCAATGGTAGCTCGGGTCAGTTTGCTCTGATTCTGATCTAAACAGCCTTTCATGCATCAGCTATTTTAAGAGAGCCACTGCTACTTTCGGATCACCACCTTCTTGCTGGACTCTGGCTGGGAGCTCTACTAGGCTCCACAGAGGCTCTGACTCTTCCAAAGGTCCCTCAGTTTTTAATAGTGTCTCCATGTTCAGGAGATATGGTCAGCATTCCCCTGACCAAGACAGAAGTCTCTAAGAAGTGCTCAGTTTACAGAAAATGACAGACGAGACTCCCTGGAAAACACACAGTAGGATATAGAACAAGTCAAACTACTTCACAGTTGAATCATAAGTATGTATTTTGTCAATTAAGACTTCAAGACAATCAGAGCAAATGAGCTAATCAGACCAAACACTTCCAATCATGGAAAGAACAAGAAATTCAATGGTGACTGATAGGGATACCTCTCTAAACTGAAGCACCAGAGAGCAAAGACTTCCTCCTGTTGCACTTTCACGTTTCACTGACTACCATCGTCAAGCTCCCACAGGGTAGATCTATTCAGAGCACATACTCAGGCCCGATTTGGAAGCCATGGGCTTGAAGTTTCCATTTTCTAATCCTTTCCTTCAAACCAAGTATTGGTGTACAGTACTAGATTAGGGTACTGCTCCTTTGGGAGGTCAATGGGGGAACTGGACTGGACACAGAAACCAAGCTATGAAATCCCGATGTTCTATATCAACCAGATTTCAAAGTATACAGACACGCACGTACACAGTGTGTCTGGCCCTGGGTTCATCAATGGATATCCATTCGAGTTAGCTTAATGCTGTCACAACGCACCCTATATCACTCTTCACGTAGAAATGTGCTGCCAGAAGTTAAAAGGACCTAGCAGAGTACTCTGTCATGTATGTAATTGGCTTTTCAATATGCACCATTACTAGAAAGACTATTTCTGCCAGGCATGGTGATTCATGCCTGCAATCCTAGCACTCAGGGAGGCTGAGGTGGGAGGATCATTTGAGGTCAGGAGTTTGAGACCAGCCTCAACAAAGTGAGACTCCATTTCTACTGAAAAATAGAAAGAAATTGGCCAGGCCACTAAAGTAGAAAAAATTAGTCAGGCATGGTGACGCATGCCTGTAGTACCAGCTACTTGGAGAATGAGGCAGGAGGATCGCTTGAGCCCATGAGTTTGAGGTTGCTGGGAGCTAGGCTGATGCCATGGCACCTTAGCCCAGGCAACAGAGCCCTGTCTCCAAAAAAAAAAAAAAAGACTATTTCTGCAATAAGCCCCAGGATACACTTACTGATGGCAATTTCCACTTGGTTAGTATAATCTATGGCAACTCCCATGGGCAAGGAGTCATCATTCTTGTCTGTCACAGGCAGTTCGGCTCGACTAGAATCCTCCAGTAGCCAAGATTCCCAATTAATCTGGGGGAAAAAAAGAAAAAAATGCCAATGTTGGTTAGAGCCTTGCATTGGTTCCTCCTAGTATTATTCAAATAGCAGAGAAGAACAGAGATGCCTCACTTGGTTTAGATTTATTTACATGTTGATGGGAAGGCTGTGAAATCTGGAAAGATGGTCTAAAAGCCCCAGCAACCGAGAGATTAGTTTTCTAAATCAATCTATTTGTTCCCAGTATGCTAAGCCACCACCTTGTCAATAATCACTAACATGAACACATTCTGAAATATCTTCCACTACAACTATGCAGACGGCTGGCCATGAGAGGAAAATCCAATAGATACACTAAGCCAGTCAATGCCTGCTCCCAGACATTTGGGATTGGGACCAGGAACTCCAAATGCTTTCTGCTTGCAGGGAAGCCTATAAAGCTGGCCTGTACTCACTTGTCTATAGAGTCAGAAGAGACAGAAAGTAACCTTAGTCCTTGTTTTCCCACTCTTGGTACCAGTTCCTTAGAATGGTCAGTATTCCTGCCCCTGGATTCCCTGTCTTTCTAGTAAACTCCTCTTTGGTTTAAGTTTGCTTGGATGAGCTCCTGTTTCTTCCAACAAATGACTCCTGATTTTTAAAAATCACTAACATTTTGTTTAGCTTTCAGTGCTGACCAGAACTGGGCAGCACAAACCACAGGGAAACAGTGCTCAGTGAGTAACAAAGTGAGAAAAACAAAAGGCTGTTCAGGAAATAGATTGTAATCATACTACAGGGCTTAGCTGTGGAATAAATGATATATATTTATACTAACATAAACAAAACAGATTTCAACTTTTAAAAACAATCTATAGGCCAGGTGTGGTGACTCCCACCTGTTATCCTAGCATTTTGAGAGGCCAAAGCGGGACGACTGCTTGAGCCCAGGAGTTTGAGGTTGCAGTGAGCTATGACACTACACTCTAGCCTAGGAAACAGAGCAAGCCCCTACCTCAAAATAAAATAAAAATAAAGATAAAACTAACAATCAATAACTAGTGATAAAGAAGATTCTTTAGAGATAAGATGGTAGCCATTACAAGAAAAAGTTTACAAGTTAAAAATGGTCCCCTCTAGAGAGCAGGACTGGAGCAGAAGAGGGTTGGACACAGGTGATTCTTTTCATTTATAAGCCCTTCTCTACTGATTTTGATTTGATTTTTTCAAGCACGTACACAAATTATTTTGATAAAAAGTAAAAAGTATATTTTTATTGTGTAAATACATAACATACCTATGCTAATAAGAAATTGTTGCTGAAGTCAATCTAAGATAGACAGTTCTAGAGCAGCAAATCAGATTGCTAAACTCTAGTCTCTCATCCAAAGCAGACCACCCTAGACGCTGTGAGATCCATGCCCCTCACAGTGGGGCCACCTTGCCACCCAGAGAGTGACGGATAAATGCTGAATGGTTGAAGAGGCACAAAGTATCTGTGTATGGGATGGGGAAATACTTGTTTCTTATTTACAAGAGTACATTAAACATTTTTAAACTCAAAGCAGAACTTTAAAAAGTTTTCCCTTTCATTGTCCCATAGTCAGTCACTCAGCGTAACCTGTAAGTGGAGGGTGCACCACTACTAGCTCCGCCCTGCAAGGAAGACAATGTGAAAGGAGGCACTTACAGGCATAGGTGCCTTTCTCTTTATGGCAGTTTCTCAAAGTAAAACAAAAAATATTTCTGATGAATCACAATTTGGTATGACCTGCATGTTTTCTTCCATAATTGAGGATGGGTTACAGTTAATTGTATAGCGGGGCAGGTTCAAGTGATAGGAAGAAAATGATGGTAAAACATAACAAAGCAGAAAAGCCTCCTACTCATCCTGGTTATATTCCATTTGGAGGCTGATCACATAGTATGTTTCCACAGACCGTGGATGGATCCTAAAAGAACACAAAGGCTTCTTATGACACTGCAGGAACTGCTGAATCTCACACCCATGTTTTTCCAATGCAACAATCAAGCCATTTGGTCCAAGGCACTTTGTCATTTAAGCTTTGCTCTCACTCAGAAATTCATTAAAAGGGATGTGAGCTCATCTAAATCTTAAGCACATAATTCCCCCAAAATCTTTCTTAGGAAAGTGTCACAAAAAGAAAGTGACAAAAAAAGAAAAATTTACCTGATCACTTTGTCGAGCAAGGATACTAACTTCTGTTGAAGCTGCAGATGCTGCCAGCACTAAATCCCTTAAAGAATAAAACCAGAGACCATTAAATTCAAACACAGCAACAGTTCTAACCTGACTTGGGACTGTGGTAACATCTGTGAGGTTTCCTCCACATCCCAGGGAGAGGGTAAGGTTTTCTATCCAGTTGAAGAAAGGCATGAAGATTCTAGATATAAAGGTCAACTTTTTAGTTCCTGTGACAAAACCTTGCCGAATCAGCCCACTGCCTACCTAACGTGTTAACAGTGGACAGACATAACAGAATCAAGTCAGTTCACAACAAACACACCACTCAAAAGCATAATAATCGTGCTAAAGGAATGGAAGTTTTACTTCAAGTAATCTATCTTTCAAAAAGAAATTTTGCTCTCAGAAGGAAATTTTTAATATATTCCTTAAATGTCAACATTTTCAAAAGTCAAATTATTGAGAAAATTGGGATTTTTAAAAGATTAGTATGTATTCAATCTAAATAATTCAAGATTGGGGAAAGAGTAATAGTCAGAAAGACATTATCAAGCATCAGCTAAAAATATGTTCAGAGCATCTCAGTTCCTATTTTCTTCTCTTACAGAGAAGATTTCAAAGTAGAACAAGGTGACTTGGGTGTGACCTGACAGCACGAGAGGCAGCCCCTGCCCAAACCCTCTGCTCACCATTCCTCCATGTAACTGAGGAAGTAATGATGCTGTCTCTCCGTGCAGCTGCCATAGCAAGGCTCCATGAAGTTCACGAATATCTCTGGGTGCTTTTCCTCTTTTTTCTACAATGAACAGAGCAAGAAAAAAAATCTTACATGCGATTTATCTCTAATCCTATGTAGTTAAAAATCTCAAAAGATAAACAAATTAAGTTTTATGAGAAAACACACAGAAAATCTAAGTCCAAATACACAGACATGATAGCATTGAGTAGTTCGAAGAGTACAAATGTCCCACTGCAGCGAGCTGTGTTCAAACTGTTCTGTCACTTTCTGTATGTGGGACAGACACACACAGATTTCTCAACCTTCATGATACTCGGTTTTCTCAATTGTACAATGGTTCTGGCGAAGCCTGCTTCAGAGACTATCATAAGTGCAAAATGAAATACCGATAAAGCATCCAGCCCAGTACATGGAACATAAACAGCAGTCAAAAATAAATGCTAGTGTTAATGTTATCCCTGAGAATAAGAAAATTCTAATATCTTGAAGTAAGGCATCTCAGTAACCCTATTTTTAAAATTCCACCTTGGCCTGGCATGGTGGCTCACGCCTGTAATCCTAGCTCTCTGGGAGGCCGAGGCGGGTGGATTGCTCGAGGTCAGGAGTTCAAAACCAGCCTGAGCAAGAGCGAGACCCCGTCTCTACTATAAATAGAAAGAAATTAATTGGCCAACTAATATATATAGAAAAAATTAGCTGGGCATGGTGGTACATGCCTGTAGTCCCAGCTACTTGGGAGGCTGAGGCAGTAGGATTGCTTGAGCCCAGGAGTTTGAGGTTGCTATGAGCTAAGCTGATGCCATGGCACTCACTCTAGCCTGGGCAACAAAGTGAGACTCTGTCTTAAAAAAAAATTTTTTTCTATCTTAATAGAAACCCAAATAAGTTAAAAACAAGACATCATTACCACATATCAGACTGGCAAGGACTAAAAGGTACCACAGCATACCGACACATGTGTTAGGTAGTCCCACTGGTGGTGGAAATATAAACCAGTGCAACTTTTCTAAAAGGTACTTTGGCAATGTTTTCAAAAGCCTATCCAATAAAGCACATATCCCTTGACCTATGAATTTCTAGTTATTTGTTCAAAAAATAAACATAATCACATAAAATATATATAAAAGAATATGCCATAGCATTCTTTAAAAGAGGGGAAAACTAAAAGCAACCTGAATATACAACAGAAGAGCTAAATAAATTGATTTTCCATCAAAACAGCTAAATTCAGATTTTATTTATTGACACAGAAAGATGTTTGTAATTTACTAGGTAAAACAAGGTTGCAAAATAGAATGAAACTCCCACTTTTGTTTTATTTAGACATTTATTTATTTAAATGGCCTGGAAATTTGTATACTAAAATATTAACACTTATTTCCGAGTGGTGGGATTAAAAGTGATTTTTTGAAAATGGCTTTTTGGAGAGTCTTTTTAGTAAGTATTTTTAAATGTTTTTTTGGACTTTGAAACCAATCTGATTTGAAAATAAAAATTTTGCCTCAATTGCTTTTTAAGGCCGGGGTGCACACCTGTAGTCCCAGTAACTTGGGAGGCTTGAGCCCAGGAGTTTAAGGTTGCAGTGAGCTATGATAACGGCACTCCACTCTAGCCCCAGGGAAACAGAGTGAGACTCTGTTTCAAAAAAAAAAAAAAGCCATTGCAATTTAGTAACACTTTGATGATCTTATAATTAACATTCTTCCCCCTATCTTCACAATGACTCACTCTCTCACACCATTTGGTTCTCTGCTCAAATGGCTTCTCCTTAGAGAGGCCTTCCTTGACCACCCAATCTCAATGGCACCCCAGTTGCCATCCACCCCTAACACTGCTATATTTTCTCCACTACCATTATCAGTCCTTGACCTCACACTTAGTACTGACTAGCACACTGATTAGACTGTGAGACCGTAAAGGCAAGGACTTTGCCTTGGTCACTGCTATGTTCTCAGCTTTAATGCAGGACTTAGCACACTGATAGCATTCAATAAATATCTGAATAAATAAATGAAAGAATTTTAAAAATCAAGTTCTTTGCTTTTCTAAAATTTCCTTATGAGCTTATGCAAAAGCAAGTTTTATCTTTTTTTTTTTTTAACCTCATAACTAAACAGGAGAACATGTTACACGTGGACACAACCGTTTTGGTCCCCGGGCCCATGGTGCAGCATTGAAACCTTATATCTCAAGTTGCACAATCACTGTCAGAGGAACCTGAAACCAAAGCCTCCAACTGTTATTAGAAGACTTTTCTAACTCTCAAAGAACCAAAACGTTCCCTTTCACACACCTACCGGTAGTAGAGCCATCACCACATCTGGAGATGTTTCCAGGGTCCCATCTGCAGCAGCATATACTATTGTGAAGACATATGTACCAATCCACAGCACATCCAGAACTGAAAGACACATGCCCTAATGAGTAGGTAATTAAAATCATAGCAATCAGATATTGCAAAAAGCATCTTATGTTTGGAATATCCATTATACACAACAACATATAACATACTATGGATAAAAAACTCAAAGTAATATAGCTTTAACAAATGTCCAGATTTCACTGACTAGATATAACTGAGAGGCACAAAGTCTCAAGAAGCCCAAATTTATGCCAAAGTTACAGTTTTTCTCCTAGATTATAATCAAGGTAAATTATGAAGAATACTAAGAAAAAGGCAGGATCCATTTCATGTTATTTACCATGAAACACAAGTGTCTCCCAAAGGGTTATCATTGTACACTGATTTAATTAGCTGAGCTAAACAGTGGCATTATTCATGAAGCAGGCACCAACACCTCCGTAAGCAGGTATGTAGGTACATCACATGATTTAGAATTTCTGTAATACAGATGGCACCTCACTGGAGGTCAGCACAACAAGAAAAGCAGTATTACCTCTGACAGGATGATCTGACTCATAAAATGGAGGGCAAGGAATGACCTTTTTTTCCTGCAAAGTCTGAAAGAGATTTAGGGGGAAAAAAAGTGTCACATGAAACAACCCCTAAACCGCTGAAACATTCAAATTCAATCTGTTTCCCTAGATGCCATCTGTTTCATCTCCTTAGCCAGGAGAGACTGAAGAAAGAAAACAGTGTTGTCTACTCCTAGGACCCTATCCTACAGGAATGCATGAACGTGTTCAACTGCAGGTAATGAAGATGTTCAGTGCAATACCATTCATAGAAGCAAAACCCCTAGTACTGATGCAGATGGCCATCAAAAATAGAATAAAATAGGCCGGACCCGGTGGCTCACGCCTGTAATCCTAGCACTCTGGGAGGCCAAGGCAGGAGGATCGCTAGAGGTCAGGAGTTCGAAATCAGCCTGAGCAAGAGTGAGACCCCGTCTCTACTAAAAATGGAAAGAAATTAATTGGCCAACTAAAAATATATATAGAAAAAATTAGCCAGGCATGGTGGCACATGCCTGTAGTCCCAGCTACTCGGGAGGCTGAGGCAGGAAGATCGCTTGAACCCAGGAGTTTGAGGTTGCTGTGAGCTAGGCTGATGCCACGGCACTCTAGCCCGGGCAACAGAGTAAGACTCTAAAAAAAAAAAAAGGAATAAAATAGATAAAGTGTGGCATCTCTACACTACTATGCAGCCATTTAAGAGAATGAAGTGGCTCTATATGGAATGAGATGGAAAAAGACTCCAATATACTAAGTTAAAAAATAAAAAAGGCAAATAAGCAAGAAAATTAAACAAAATGCATTATCTGTTTACAGGCTAATGTCCTAAAAAAATATGAGCGTATATACCAAATTTCATGTAACAACTTAACAATAAAAAGAAACAAAACCTTGACCTCGAGCCTACACCACCACCACCACACTTACCACTCCACACCTTCTCAAACAGTCTCAATGAGGAATGTACAACACAGGCCACGTCAGCGCCTGTGAACCCCTCCTTCACATCCAGGCTTGGATGGATATATGTGGATTCTTTGTGAGTCAATTTATACTGAAGGATATTTGTGAATATTACCTCAAGAAAATCACAGGAAGGATGACAGAGTGCACATGCAACAGAAGCAGCCATTTTCTTTGTTGCCCATAGTTAAAGGAACTGAGCCTTTAAGATGGCCTTGTTAAAAGACAAACACTCTGCTTTAACCCTGAGTGACTCTGCATTATGGCAATAGTTTTATCCCTAACTCCTTTTCCCCTTAAGCTCTGTTTTTATGGAATGAATTAGAGATATAATGTTGGGGAACAACGCACAGAGTATGATCACATTTTACTTTTAAAAAAAAAGGTGCATCTACACATAGACTATCTGCATAAGCATCAGAAAAGTCTGGAAGGCAACCCATGCAACAGAGCACAGTGGGTGCCCCTGGAAGGAGGACTAGGGGAAGGAAGGAGTATGTCTCACTCTTTTCTTCATTCACTGATGGATTTTGACGATGAGCATAAATTACTTTTTAGTAGAAAAACAACAAAGAGACTCCCAAACCACCCCAAAAATAGTGGATGACTTAAGAAAAGTTCTGAAGTTCAAGGTAAGAACTTACAGGAAGATACTGGACCACAGTTCCATTCTGTTTTCCCACTGCCAGCTGCTTTCCTTTGGGGCTCCAGCACACTAAGCAAAGAGAGCACGACCAATTAAAAACTGAAGAAAAAGGAGCAAATCAATGAGATTCATTACACACAGCTACATAATCACCACTTCTTACCCCTCGATCATTCCACGGAAGTGAAATGAAAAAAAGTAAAATCATTTTAACCATACAAGCCAATTATGATTTAAATGAATTAAAAGGTAAAAATGCTTTTTCAATAGATTATTACCCAGAAGGCTGCCAAGTACTGAAAACTCTGTAGTCTTTGGATAAGACAGGGAAAAGAGAGAAGGGTTTCAAATATCAAGAAATCATTCTCTTGCTATTTGATATTTCTAATGCTTTCCTCCCTGAAGGTACAAATGACTGTCAGAGTATGATCCCTTCACATCCAGAAACAATTATTCTCAAAACACAGTTCTAATCTAGCCGTACCAAAATACTTCTCCAGAAAACCCAAGCACATTCAGGTTAAATCATGAATGTTGTTTGGCTTCAAGGACATTAACTATGGAAATAAAGAATACTCTCCATTTCTACCCCCAAAAAACCCCCCACAAAAAACAAAAAACTATCCATTTTTAATTCCAGAAATTAATTTTTAAATAGATTACCATTACTATATGTTATAGTGTGAAAGCTTTTATTACCCACCAGACGTTACTGCTACCGTGGAAGGAAGAGTTGCACACACTTTCACTGTTTCTGTGACTTGTAGGACAGCGATACTACCATCAGCCAGACAAACTGCCACCATGGAAGGGACAGTGGGGTTCCACTTCATATCGATCACCATGCCTCCTGCATCTTTCAAAAGCTGATGATAGGCAAACGGGCGTTTCTGCTGTTTAGCCTTTTAAAACAAACAGGTAAAGGCAACATAAGTTAATAAATGCATAAGACATTTAATATTCAAAGGAAACTACTGAACAGACAAGTTTTCTCAAATCATATTTCATTTTTCTCCATAACTATAAAAAAGATTTAGCTCTATGAAACAATAATCTATTCCTTACAGACTGTTTCAACACAACTTTGAAAATGGCAATCAATTATTCTAACACACTCAGAGGGACTCACAGCACAGAAATACACAAATGCAAAATAACCAGTAAATAGCAGACACTAGTTTAAAATCTTAGCTCTGAGCTGGGCGCGGTTGCTCATGCCTGTAATCCTAGCACTCCGGGAGGCCACAGCGGATGGATCGTTTGAGCTCAGGAGTTCGAGAGACTAGCCTGAGCAAGAGTGAGACCCTGTCTCTACTAAAAAAAAAAAGAAAGAAAGAAACTAGCTGGACAACTAAAAATATATAGAAAAAAAAATTAGCCAGGCATGGTGGCACACGCCTGTAGTCCCAGCTACTTGGGAGGCTAAAGCAGTAGGATGGCTTGAGTCCAGGAGTTTGAGGTTGCTGTGAGGTAGGCTGCTGCCACAGCACTCTAGTCGGGGCAATAGAGTGAGACTCTGTCTCAAAAAAATAAAAATAAAAAAATCTTAGCTCTGTTTGTTAATAGTGTTGAGACTTTGGACAGTTGCTTAAACGCTCTGAGCCTGTTTCTCCATATATAAAATGAAGATAATAGTACCTACTATGCAAGGCTGTGGTGGGCATGAACAAGGCACAAGACACAGTACTCAGCACAGGGCCTGGTATACAGTCAGTACAAACACTCAATATTATTGACTATCATCATTCTGATAATAATATCTTTAGATATTCCAAGCAATGACATAGATATTATAGATATTGCTCTTATAGATATTGCTTGGAATGGAAGAACACTGCATTAGGAGGCCAGAGACGCAAAGCTTCTGACATTATCTATTAATTCTATGGCCTTGGAAAAGTCGCCTAAGCTTCCCTGGTTGGTTGTCTCATGTGTAAATGAGAAATGATAATACCTTGGGGCAGATGGTATTATGAAAATAATTTCTTCAAGTCCCTTCTATATCAAACATCCATAACTCTATAATTAAAGACTTTTTTAACCTTTTGCACTTGCTTGCTTTTTTCTCATTATCCACTCGACATTATCCACACTCAACATAGAGTGCAAAGGGTTAAACCCACATTTTAATCTAGAAAAAGACATGAAAGGTTAAACTACAAAGCTTCCAAGTTATAACTCAATACCAGGAAATCTCCTTAGTTTCCCAACTGACATTTTAGTATAATGATAGCTTACCTCATTTGAGAATGTGCGGACATCAAAAAAAGCAATAATGGAACCATATTCGCTGGATATCGTGCACACAGAAAGTGTGAGGTTATCACAGCTCAAAGCCAGGTGATGGATTGGGAATTTCATAGGAACTAGCAAGCTTTGGACTTTATCAACTATGGAAACAAAAAAGGCAAAACAGAAAACAGTATATTCTAAGCATAAAGCCATACCTCTTTATCCAGGTTAACGTGAACTAATTTTTGCATATACAGAAACACACATACTCCCTCAATACCTAGTTATGCATATAAATCTTAACTTTCTCATAGATATATGCATTAGGAATCTCAGGGATTCTTACTCATTCAACCTAGGGAAACTGGCTATCGTCCTTATTGAAAGTATTTTTACAACAATGCTCCAAATATACACATTCCCACTTGTTTGGATGGTCCTGTTATGCCACCTGAAAATCCATGCAACAAAACCCTTCTCCTAGAGAGCCAGAGCCCAAGTTCAAGTGAGCAAAAATAAAAGTATGGTATAATGGTAGTTTCTTCTTCCCTCTGAGTTCAGAGGAACAACTCACTGAAAGAGGAACACAAACCACCAAAGAGAAAACCCAGAAAGACTTCCAGCATTCTAACTGGAACTTATCTTTTTGGGGGTCAACCTTAAGACCAATAGCATTGTTAAATTTAGTATCAGAAAGATTTCTTGGGAAGGAAACATATTAGCATGCCACCATACACCTCTCTCTACTATGCAACATAAATCAAGGAACTTACCTATTTTGTTGGGGTCATCTCCAGGTTTATTTTGAATAAGAAGATTTTTAGTAGGAAAAACTTGCAGCCCACTGGCTCCACCAGCAAAGACCAGACCATACTTGTTGGACACTGCAAGCAGACTTGAGCGTTCCTTGGGTAGCTCCTCAGGGGAGTCAAAGATTCTCACCTTCTTTAGTGCTCTAAACTGAAAATCCTGTTGTAAAGAATCAAAATAAGATCAACCCGGGAAAAATAGGAAATTAAGTATTGTCTGCTGTTATATGTCAATAGATCCAATGTCAGTACAACCAAAAATATGTATTACATTGAGGCTAAGAACTGTCTCAATCATCTTTGAACTCCCTGTGCTTATCATAGTGCCTAGTGTAGTGCTCATTAATATTTACTGAATAAAATAAATGGGGGGGGGGGACCTTCCACGAAGCTTTCCTTGACTAACCCAGCTTACACTGATCTTTCCTTTTTATAAATTCCTAGTGTATTTGTTGTATGAATTGCCACCCAAGTTACACTTCATTATTTATAGTCTTGTCTTATTTCATGGTATGCATTGTCTTATAGCCCAGTGTAGTGCTTAAACTTCAAAAGTTGTCACAGCTTTTCTTGGTCTTTATTTTTGTAAACTAGATTCTTAAGGTGTGTTTCACACAGAATCCCTAATACAACCGCATAGTAACTTCCTTGGATTTGTGGTTTAATACATATTTTCTAAAAGATCAACTGAAACACTTAGTTCCAACTGATCACAGTGAGTAAAAATTTACACAGCTTTCCAGGTAAGATCATACCATGGTTTTACATAGGAACAGAATAAAAGTTTCAGTCTTTTCTGTACTGCTCATCCTGATAATCCCAAATATTCTACATGGGTCTTGGTCACATGGGTGGAAAGGGCCAGTGGGATGAACAGGCACCGAAGAGCTCCCTTGTTATAGTCAGTAACTCAAAGGGAGACTACTAACTTCTGCGTCTGTGGTTCTAAACCCTCAGCATACTAAAGAATGACACATTCCCATCAGGCAGCTCAGTACAGGCAGTGATTCTCAAGAAAGAAGAGAGAATTGCTATTTTAAGTAAGATATGGATTACTATCCCCTAAATGCATTCTAGTGATTTGTTGTTCACACAAATGCCTGAAATCTTCCTGCAACGTACTCCCTGTCAGTCGTTTAAAATAAATGTAGCTCATTCTCTGTACACTCATTCTGTAAGAACACATATAAGAACCATTAAACACACCATTGTGGGAGTTATCCCCAGGGAGCGCCCACATAACCATCATTTGGTCCACCTGGCCCCTTTAATTTCCTGACTTTAGGCTGAAACCGGTGCCAAAATAGTCTTCTTAGTCCAGTTAACTAAAGATTTTGTAGGGTGGATGATCTTCCCTGGCCTTACTTTAGGCAAGCCTGGACTACCTTACAGTAAGTAGTACAGGGACAGCAAAGAACAGAGCGTCTTAACTGACGCTGGCTTTCAACCCCCTTGTCAAATGTGGCTTTGGGTAAATTACTTTTCGAGCCTTGATATCCTCCTCTACATTAACTACTACTTCGTAGGGTTGCTATGATGACTACCACAGTGCTAAACACTCAAACAGTAGTTATTACCACTACTATGACCGCCACATGAAAGTACCTAGTATAACTCAAGAGGCGTGCACAAGACCAGGAAGGGACGGGGAAACTGAATTCAGTGGGGCTCTCAGGCCAGCGGCAAGACAGAGTGCTCCAGGGCGCGCCGGTGAGAGTTCTAACTGCGGTAAACTGTTCAAACAGGAAACCGGCCAGCGGCACCAGCACCGCGCTTCGCTGTTCAGTCGGGCTCCAAGGCAACGCCAGGACTAAGGAAGGAAGGGAGGGTAGGCCTCAGCCAGTCTCTGACCTTCATCTCCCGTTCGGGGATCATGACATCCATCTCGTCTCCCATCGCGCCGCCCTCAGTATATCCAAGCAGCCCCCGCTGCCGCCTGCGGCCTTGCCCACAGAACCCAGGCCGCTCAGAAGCTAACTTCCTTCCCTCAGCACAACCGGCGCGCAACGGATCGCGCATTTCCGGCGCGCTTTGGTGACGTCAAGCTCCCCCTCCATGGCGTGATGGGGGGAGGCCGCCGGAGCGCCTGCAGTCGCGCGCTCGCCGCTCCCCATTGGCCAGCCTTGAAGTAGGGGCGTGGCCGTAGAGCCCGGGCGCCTGCGCCCTAGATCGTCCTGGCTGCCTCCGTTTGTTTGCCGCTGGGGTTGTGTGGTCGCGAGATGCTTTTGCTCCTTGGGCGGTGCATGCTTACGTGCTTCGCGCTTGCTGCACCTTTGAAACCTCACAGTGACCATTAGTTATAGGCGGTTACTAGAGGCTTCTATTCAAAGAAATTAGGAACTTGACAGATTGAGAAAGGTCCAGAAAAGGGGGTGCTGGCCATTGGGAGGCCCTTCAGTGTCTAAGGACGGAGGCTTGGGGGTGGAGGTTAAAGGGCTCCAGAGACCAGCTTTGTTTAGTCCGTTCAAGGCAGTCATTTCCAGAGCAAGAGCCATACCCGCCTTTGGTCACAAGAGAATTTGTGCAGAGTTCTGCGCAAAGCCATTAGATGTGATTTCGTGTAATCTTTAAGACATCAGGTCACCTAGGGTTTTTTATTATTAATAACATTTAGAGGTAAGGGAAGCAGAGAAATTGGGAAAATTCTCCAGTGGTCTTCAGCCAGAAAGTAGTGGAGGCAGGATTAGAATTCACGTTGTCTGGATAATGCTGACTGATAATATCACACAGTCCTATGGCGAGAAACTTCTGTAGCGGAATTATATGTCTATTCTAGGACAGAGATTCTTAACTTGCCCGTGGGTAGACTCCAGGGAGGCAGATTCTGGCACTTAATGTTTGGTAAGCCAAGCTGGCTTCTCAGTTGTAAAACAAGGATGACATAATTGAACCTGCCTTGTGGGGTTGCTATGAGAAGCAAATGAAGTTCAGCTGTCTCAGACCCAACATGCAGGACACGTTCAATCTGTTACTACGTTAGCTAACTCTTCTCAATCTGCTGAGCCAGAACCATCCCCAAAATACACCAGTTAAGACATTGGTAAGTTTATCTGGTTTATTTCCCGTCTGTACAGATGATATCACACCACCTACACACCCACATGCACACCCACAAACATACTTCATCCACCAGAATTTGCCCGACAATCTCTCCTTTTGAGTCATAGGGACAAAGCCATACTTGGTTACATTAGTTAGATTTGGTCTTTCAAAAGGAAGACAGTTGAAATCCCAAGAAGCTAACCTCCTAGCCAGAGAAGTATTAATGAGTCCTAGAGCCAACAGCCACAACCTGAAATACATGCAGAAGTCCCCTTTCCCAGGGACCACTCTTGAGACCCTCTCCTCCCAGTTGAGTTCCAAGAAATAGTGAAGGGACTGATGGGATTTCCCAGGACATCCCACCCCACTGAGGGTTCAATGAAAGAACCCTCTTTCCTGCCTTCCCAGAAGCTGGGGACACACCAGTTTGCTTCCTCCCTTGAGGCTTCCTGCAGCCTTGTGAACTGTGGAACCCCCTGACATATGTCTGCTTGCCTTCCTCACTGAGTGAAGAACAGGGACACTGAATGAGTCTTCGAGGAAGGCTTTAACTTCCTCAAAGGTCTCAGCCGGTCCTGGAGAGGAGAGGCAGAGGGAAGGGGTGAGGGACCGGCAGTTGCTAATCTAATGATCTCAGGAGGAAGAAAAAAAAAAGACAGGAAGGGGTGGGAGTAGGATTTTACATTTACAGGGAGGAATGTTTTGCTTGGGTTTAAACTTCAACTAGGCCTGTGCATCTGAAGCAGATCCTTAAGCTGAAGATCAGCCAGTCATGGCCAAATAATCTTGCTGCTTAACTGGTTGAAACCAGCAGGTTAACCCAACCTGGCCATTTCCTCATTCCCTACCAGCTTCCCTCCCTCAAGCTGCTGTAGAGGCAGTGTCTTGGGCCCTTCATCAAAGAACACTAACGAGCCGCAGGGAACCCCACACTGGCTCCAGCCACCAACAGCCCCTAGTCCTTCCCACCTTAAGGTTTTGCGAAAGTTCGTTCAAGACTCCTATATCCTGCCCCTTCCTAACATTCACTGTCATTGTCTGGATCTGACTTTCTCACTAGACTCTAAATTCCATGGGTCTCTCCATTTCACTTCTGGGTTCTTAACTCTTGGCCTATAGCAGGTGCTTAATAAATATGCTCAGTGAGTAAGTGTGTCTAAGTCCTGAGCTGGCAGAGTAAGGGACTCCAGAACACAGGCAGGGTCCAGTGAGTTCCCTGCTCAGCCAAGATGGGGCTGAGTCTCACCTCCTGTGTGGGCTCTGAGAGGCAGCTCTCTGAGGCTGGCCAAGAAGCTGCAGGGGAGGGAGAACTGCAGAAGGAGGCCTGGCCCTTACCCAAACCCTGATGCTAACTCGGAGGCACTGGGGAGGGCAGGTCCTGGCCCAGGACCTTCCCCTCAGAGTGAGGGAAGCCTTACCCAGGTGCTGACCTAGGAGACTGCCCCTCCCCATCTGCCCCTGTTTTTGTCACTGACGAGGTAGCCCAGAGCAGAGATGAGGTGTGGGCAGGGTACCTGAACACCTGGGCTCCAGTCCAGGCTCTTCCTTGGGCAAGGCACTTAATCCCTGTGGGCAACCATAGTTTCCTCACCTGTGAAGAGAGAGGACTGGCCTGGCTAACCTATGGGGTGATCCGGGCTCTAAAATCCTGGAGTCCATAAGAACTCAGGTCCTTAAGAACTCCATAAGGACACAGGTGACCCCAATCTAATTTCGAAGTTCAAAGATTTGAATGATTTGGGAAAAGAAACAGTAGACGCAGCACATATCAGGACAATGTGGGAGGGCTTAAAGCTTATCAAAGATGGTCAATAAATATCTGTTGAATGAATGAGTGAATGAATGAAGGGCATGAGGAGGGTGGGAAGGCAAACGAAGGAAGTGTAGTCAGGTTTGAAGCCGACCTGGATGAGAAGGGCAACCTGTTTCTCAGCTCATGGATGATCAGTGGTGCTGGATTTTTGCAGGAGTGCTTGACTCCTCATCCTCCCATCCTGCTACCCGAGCACCCTTCCTAAAAGCTAGGGCTGCACTGAGCTGAGCCTTCCTCCAAGGCCCCTGTCCTCATCTCTAACTCTGAAGCCCTTTGCTGCCCCAGCAAGGGACTGTGGTACTGCACCCTCCCTCCCTCTGAGCTTCCCGTGAAGATGTGGCCAGGGAGCAAGACCAGAGGGTTCCTTCTGGTACCTTCCCGAAGGGCTCAAGTTGCCAAGCTCCTTTCCTTCTCACCTTTGGTCACATCGCTGAGGATGGGAAGAGGTGTGGCCTGGGGGGATTGGCTGAGGCAGTGGGTACTGGGTGGCCACATCCTGGATGACCCCAGAGTGCTGGAACCACAGGGCTATCTGAGGAGACCCTAACGAGGCCCTGCATCCTTGTCCCTACTCCAGGGTCTTCAGAAGGTGGGCTGGGGTCCTCACCAGGGCCAGAGCCTGACCTTAGCCCAGAGACCTTCTGGAAGCATGGACCAGTGTGGGGAACACAGGCTTCCAGCCTCCCTGCCCTGACCCTGCCCCCTCCGGTTTTTGGTTTGATGTCAGCCCTTCTGCACAGGGAGGGGAGATGGAAGGAAGAAGAGAGGGAGGGGACCCAAGGCTCAGGATTCCCTGACCTAGCGCCCCCTTTAAGGCAGATAATCTGTGCTTTACAAAGACATTGATGAAAACACAAACACACGAACACCAAACAAGCAAGACAAATCACAGTGAGTCAGGAAGGGCAGAGAGGAGCAGGGGCGGGCAGGTGGGACGGGGGTCCAGGCGGGGTCCTCAGGGCAGGCTAGCAATGTCTCTCTCTGGAGGGGGGCCAACTGGCTTGGGGCTGCTCTCGTTGGCTTTTCCTTCAAACATCATGACTCTGGTTTGGAGATGGAGAAAAGAGAAAAGAAAGCAGGATTAGGACTCCTCTCATCCAGGGAAAGATCATTCCAGCTTTATGTCAGCAGGGTCCTCAAGATCTATTCTCCAGTGTGACCCTTGCAGAAGCCAAAGACAGCAGCCTTGAGGAATGGGCTGCTAGTCCCATTTTACAGAGGAGAAAACTGAGACGCAGAGTGGCAGTGTGACTGCTCGGAAGCTATGCAGGCCGTCCAAGGTAGAGGCAGGCTGAGACTCCAGGCCTCTGGCTCTGAGACGGCGCCCCTCCCCAGCCATGCTGAGCGGGGCTGGGCCATGGCTCTACTCAGGGCCCCTTCAGCTCTTCAAAAACCTCCTCCCTTCTCTGAGAGTAGAGCCTGAGGAGTAGAGGGCAGGGGTTCGGAGTGTAAACTCTGGGGGGAACATGCCAGCTCTGCTAACTCCTGGCTCAGTCAAGCACGACACTCAACCTCCCAGGTCCTCGGCATTCCCTCCCGCAGGCGCCAGACTGAAGCAGGAGCTGGCGACCTGGTTACTCAGCCACCTTGGCTCCACGAACTGCTCCGTAAAATGAGACAGGCATATTTCACCTTCGTACTTAAAAACTTATTGCATAAAAGCCAAGTGAGTGTCTTTTCAGCTGTGACAAATGACAGTAAGACTCTCCAGGGAACAGGGCCTCTAACCCTCTCCGGCACGGAAGTGCCTATGACGTGCTCCGGTGTATTAGGCGTTTGCCGCTGGCCCAGCACGGGGGTGCAGCCTTCAGGTGTGTCGCCTCGTTAGCCTTCGGGACATTTCACAGGAGATTTTACAGATGGAGAAACTGGGGCTTGCGGAACTTAGGTAACTTGCCCAAGGTCATTTCAGTGGCAAGTGATTCAAATTCTACCCCCCTTTAGAGCCAATTCTGGCTCTATTTTATGCTCTCGACCTGCTGGGGGGAGTGGAGCTGCTTTACAAATGAGGAAACTGAGGCTCGGAACCTTTTGACGGGTTTATCACCATTGTCCCCGTCACCACCTTCACCGTTGCCACTCACTGAGCGCTGATGCTGCCAGACGCTCTGCTACAGGCTGATTTCCCCTGCAAGGCACATGTTAAGCAACCATTTGACAGATAAAGAAAGTTCGGGAAAATTAAGTGCCTTGCCCAGCAGGTCACAGGATGCGTGACCTACTGGCTGGGGAATGGCTCAGCGTCCCGTGCCGGGGCGTCTCTGCACAGAACGACCTTGCCTCCACAGGCCTGGGGAGAGGTCAGGAGGTACTCACAGCTTGAGGACGGCCGACCGCTTCCCCAGCATCATATTCACAAAGTCTCGGTAGGAGATGGTGTCGCTGACCCCACCTGTCACCTCTGAGATCATCTTCTTCATCTCCAGGTGGGTCTTGGGGACGCCAAGCTTCTCCATCATCCTCTTTAAAGACATCAGGTCTGCGGAGGGAAAGCAGGTGGGTGAAGCGGAGACGGGCTGCGGGGGCCGGCGGGGGAGCTGGGCGCAAGATCCCTCCCCGGGGTCTGCAGTCAACGCGCTTGCCCTGTAGGGAGGACGAGCCCGTCGCACCTGCTTTATTCAGAGGCACTGGAGACCAGTGGTGAGGGACCTGGGCTCTGGAGCCAGACAGACCTGCGTTGCACCGAGCTTTGCTATTCCTGGCTGTGGGACCTGGGGCAGACGACTTAGCCTCCCTGAGCCCCTGCTCCGGCCAACAGTGGAACAGGTCGAAAGGGTCCTTCACAGGGATGGTCCCCGCAGAGCAAGCGCTCAGCAAAGGAGCTGCTGTTCCTCATGCTGTTATTGTTATCTTGCTGTTCCCTGCAGCTTAGGGTGTGTGTGTGCCCACTCTCCTGCCACTCGGGGAGTCCCTGCCCAGCGACGGGGAGGGGGCAGGTCAGGGAGCCGGTCTGACCCCACGCATTGACAGTCACTCTCCTGGGTGCCAGGTGGCAGGCAGCTCCTCCCCACCCGCCACTCCCACCCCGCCGTCCCGGGGCTCTGCCTCCGCTAGAAGGGAAAGGATGCCAAAAATATCCTGTGCGGCAGGAAAACCAACAAAAGAACAAAATTCAAGAAAAACAAGGGAGGCACCAAAAAGTCACTACACCCGCGAGGAGTTGCTGCCTTGGCCCTCCCAGGTCCCACCACGATCTGAGGCAATTTCCTTCAGATCGGGCTTCTGCGAACAATGGGCAAGCGGAGGATGGGGGGCGGGGCTGGGTGCAGCATGCGGCCAGCAGGGCGGGTGGGACGGGGGCCAGGCCCGAAGGTGCCAGGATGTCCAGGCATTTCAAAGAGAGCTGGGCAGCCCTGCCCAGGAAAGGGCAAGAGGGCGGCACACGCGCTGTCAGACTCTAGCTGGAGGCAGTTTGGCAAGATGCGTCAAAAGCCTTTGACCCACAATGTCCCATTCCTGAGACTTACTCTACCCAAATAACCAGAGGGCTGGGTGCAGTGGCTCACGCCTGTGATCCCAGCACTTTGGGAGGCCAGGATGGAAGGATTGCTTGAGCCCTGGAATTTGAGGCTGCAGTGAGCTATGATTTCACCACTCTGCTCTAGCCTGGGTGACACAGTGAGACCACATCTTAAAAAAAAATAAAAATAAAAGAAAGAACCAGCAATGTGAACAAAGATTCATGTACAAAGACACTCTTTACAGAATTATCAATAATAGTTAAAATTAGAAGGCATCTAAACGGTCCATACTAAGGTGTTGGCTGAAGGTATTAGAGTCCATCCCTATAATGGAATATTATGCAGCCCTTAACTATATGTCAAAGGAAAAATCAATCATAAATCAAAAAATTCACCACACCAGGCATGGTAGCTAATGCCTATAATCTAAGCATGGGCCAACTAAAAATATATAGGAAAAATTAGCCGGGCATGGTGGCGCCTGCCTGTAGTCCCAGCTACTCGGGAGGCTGAGGCAGAAGGATCTCTTGAGCCCAGGAGTTTGAGGTTGCTGTGAGCTAGACTGACACCACGGCACTCTAACCTGGGCAACAGAGTGAGACTCTGCCTCTCTCTCTCTCTCTATGTATATATATACATATATATAAAATAGAAAAAAAATAAAAAATAAAAATTAAAAAATATAATCTCAGCATGGTGGGAGGCCAAGGAAGGAGGATCAGTTGAGGCCAGGAGTTTGGGACCAGCCTGAGCAACATAGTAAGACCCCATCTCTATAAAATTAGGCATGGTGGTGTGCACACGTGTAGTCCCAGCTACTCAGGAGGCTGAGGCAGGAGGATCGCTTGAGCCCAGGAGTTTGAGGTTGCTGTGAGCTATAGGGATGTCACTGCACTCTAGCTGACAGAGTGAGACTGGTCTCAGGAAGAAAAAAAAAAGGGAGTGGAAGGATATAAACAAAATGTTACAGCAGTTATTTTGCTGAGGTGGGATGGTAAGTGACATATTTTTGTCTCTGTGCTTTGCTGTGTCTCCAACATTTTTATGATGAAAATGTATTAATTTGATAACCAAAAATTTTTCTAAAGAAAAAGTGATCAAAATATTCAAAAGAGAGGAGAGAGAGGCCAGAGCGCGCAGAAATGGCAGTGCAGCGGCAACTCCAAGGGCACAGGGGGCAGGACACGAGGACCTGTCAGAACCAGAGCAGGGCCTGGGCCCCTCCCACAACCAGCGGCCCTAAGCCGTTGCGTCCGCGATCTCGGTTCCTCAGTGTGAGATGGAGATCATCAAACGCCTTGGCTGCATCATTACTGGTAAGACCCGGCTGTGGCCTATCAGAACGTAAGTGCACACGACAGGGTGTCACCCCCAGCACCTGGACAGGCAGGATGCAATCAAGGGTCTGCTGGAGGAGGCATCGAACTTGTACAAAAACACCTTGGCAACTGCAGAAACCATGCCACGGAAAACCAGGCTTGGGGACCACGGAAACACCAGCTCCCTGGGCCAGGGGTCAACTGCCTGTCCACCCTAAAGCGGCCAAGTGTCCCCAGCCCTGAGCAGAGCGTGGCGCCCTCCATTTCGGTCCCTGGAGCACCTGGGTGGAGGCGGGCGGGGGGAGGTGGGGCAAGCAGGGAGCGGCAGCGCGCGGAAAGGCTCAGGGCTCGGCGCCCTGCCCGCGCGTGCTCGTCACCCTCACTCGACCACGCCGTGCGCCTCACCCTAGTGGCGGTCAAGGGCTCTCTGGACCCCAAATCCTCCACCAACACCCTCCTCCCCAACACACCCAAGGCTCACTCACCAATCTCGCCTTCATTGTTCAGGTCAAACTCCATGTACTTCTCTGGAAATCACAGGGCAAAAACTGGCATTAGCTTGAAAGTAGCCTCTCTCCTGGCAGGGACCCAGTGATCCACTTGAGGGCAAATAACCGGGTCCTCAGGAGCCCACACCACCCTCCTCACCCACGAGGGGTTCCTGCCAAGGTCCCCGGCATCATGGCCACGCTCTCTGGAGAAAAAGCTCATCCTCCGGAACGCTCTCCCACAGGTGCCGTGGGGGAAAGGGGCTGGGGCCGCTCTGACCCTCTTAGGAGGGCACCTGCTTCCAGCTAACCAGCTGCAAAGCCACCCAGATCCGATTCCTGGACCTGGAGATTCGGATTCAGTGGGTGTGAAGGCAGGCAATGGCGTGTTGTTCAGAGTGTCCTGGCGGTTCTGGTGGACCCAGGATGTGAAACCACTGATGTCAGGAGTCCTGCGTTCTGAATTCCGCAACTAGCAGTCCAGGAAAAACCTCCAACAGGAGAGGAGGATACGCGGAGCAATGCACTTGGTATCTTCTGGAGCGTGGGCGTACATTCAAGTGGACCATGTGGCCTTGGCAGGTCAGCCCTGCGTCCAGCAGAGTAGCCAGTGTAAGCAAGCCGGGGTCCCTGGGTGGCCTTGCTGCTCCCGTCCACTCCCACCTGCTCCAGCTCACTGCCTCCTGCCTGGAATGTCTCCCAGGTATGCTCAGGGCTCCCCGGCCCTCCACCCACGCCCATCCCCACGTCTGTTTCCCACCAAAGCCCTAACATGTACCCTTGACCTTTGTATTTCCCTGCTCTCTGTGTACCACCACTCCCTCCCACCAGAACACATGCTTCCTGGGCAGGCTTGTGTGTTCTGAGAGGTACCCTCAGCCGGGAACGGGCCTGGCCCAGAGCAAGGCTCATCTGGAGAGCAAAGATGAGCGAGCAAACTGGAGGCCCTCCAGGCACTGCCTTCCCGCACAACTTCCTGGTTCTGGTCTGGCCCAAGAGACCCAGTCCTACACCCCAGTAACAGAGTGGAATCAGACCCCCAAGACCCTGTGGCCTCCTGCCAGAGCCACCCCTGAGCAGTGGCCACTGGACAGCAGAGGAGAGGGAAGAGAGGGCTGTCCTGCAGGCAGCTGGGACAGGGTGGGGACAGGCGTCTTTTTCTATTTCTCTTAATGTAAAGATGCATCAAGCATAAGGTTCAGAGCAGGAGCTTTGGAGCCAGACGGACGGGGATAGTCCAGCTCTGCTCCTGGGTACGCTCGTCCCCTGCCAGTGACCTCCCCAATGCAAGCCTCAGTTTCTCCATCTGTGTAGTACCAGGTGCACCACTGCCCTCCCGCTGGGCTGGGTGACCTGGGAGCACCCTGTGCCCCATGAGAAGGGCTTTATTCAGGTCTGTGCCCAACAAATGCCAGCTGTTATTAACATTGGCCACCCATGTCTTACCCAAGCACAACTAAGCCATAAAGTGGTTTTAGGAGCACCTGGCCTTGCAGCCAGGAGGATGCCCACGCTGCAACCTCTCGGGACGGAGCTGCGACTCCAGGACACTTGCCACGTGTCCTCCAGGGAGCCCAGGGCTCCCGCCCGGGAGCACCCCGGGCAGGAAAGGTGGGTCTGCCTCGCTCCGCATGTGCACGGCTCCTCTCCTTTCGAGGTGCTGGCGGGGACCCAAGCACCAGGGCCCCGAACAGAGGGACCTTTATGCCGCCCCTCTCTGCGCACAGGCTTCCAGGCCCTGTTTTCTTTTCATCTGTGCTGCCGGGACTCAATGGGCAGAAACTCTGCCCCCCTGCCCCTCTGTGGCGACACAAGCGTCCATTCTCCGCGGGGGCTCCTGAGACGCTCGCTGCAGAGGGGGAGAGGCGAGGGCTGCTCACAAAGAGCTGATTGTGTGCAGGGCGCGGAGCGAGCGGGCCCTGGCGGCTGACAGGAGCCAACCTGAGCCCCGCAGGCAGCCGGGGAGAGAGGGGCAGGGCTGGCCAGGCCTGCAGGCCAGGGGTCGGGGGTCTGCGGTGGCAGGGAGGCAGGTGGAGGGGCCTGCCCCCACCTCTCAGGGGCCCATCTCCAAGCTTGCCAAGAAGAGGGGTGTTCGGGATGAAACAGGCCACAGCCAAGCCCTTGGGGCTAAGGAGTTCCACATGCGATGGGGCAGGGGCCAGTCCAGTCCCCCGGATGCCCACGCAGCCAGCCGGGCTTACCTTTGAAGGCTGCGAGCTTTTCTGGAAGGTTCTCCTCATCACTGTACTTCTGGTCACAGAGAAACTCCTACAGAGGCAAGAGGACAGTGCTGAGCAAAGGGTCAGGGGCAGAGGTCACCCACACGGGGGCCCATTGCCTGGGTGCCTCCTCTCCTGCCGGGTGGCCAGGCCTGGCCAGACAGGGCTTGTCCTGTGTCTGTCCCGGCTTCCCGTCGCCAGGCAGATCTGCGCGGTCCGCCCTGGGGTAGGAAGCTGAGCAGGCGGGGGAGGGCCCCCCGGGGTGGGCTCCAGCAGACTAAGCCCTCCGGCAGGAGCTGAGTCACCAGTGCGGGGACCTGCGCCTCACCCGGGGCCCCGGCGGGGACCCGTGACGCTGTGAGCTCCAAAGACGAGCTACCCAGCTCCGTGGTTCACTTCTCGGGTCTGGGATCCCGAGCCAATTAATGCCTCTCTGCACCTGTGCTGCCCCGTCCAGCAAGCGGGGTGATTACCACAGCTGCTTCTCGAGTTCCTGTGCGAGTCGGACGAGAGCGTGTAAACCACTTTCGGCATAGAGAAAGTCTCAATGAGCAGCGGCCGTCATGTTATTGGTGTCTGCTGTAGCCAGAACATGACCGCACCTTGCTTGGGAGGACACTTACCGTCTCACCTGTTTCCTGACCTATAAAATGGGGGTGTCATCCCTGGCCTGTCTTCCCCTCAGATGCTTGGAGAGACTCAAATGAGTCTTTTCAGAACCCACTGGGGGGTGGGGGGGTGGGAGGCTTCGATCCAGGGTGAAGCACTTACCTACGTGATCTCTTTGGATCTCCCAGTAGCCACAAAAGGTAGCTACTATTATTATGCCCATTTTATAGATGAGGAAACTGAGGCTCACAAGCCAGAGCTTCCACTCAGCTCCATGTCACTTACAGCCCACACCCTTGGCCCTGACACTCACATATGGGCACACTGCAGGTGTTCACCTGGCCTGGTCTCCGGCCTGAGCACAGAAAGCTACAAATGAGTGAATACCTGCTATGCTGGGCACAGTGCCAGGCTCTTATATGCCTCGTGGCTAATCTTCCAGCAGGCCTAGAACCTGTACCCAGATGGGGACACAGGGCATATTCCCTCCTGCCACTCAGACGCTGCAAATCCGCTCTCTTCTCTAGACCTCACCTTCCTCATTACCGAGCTGCCCGCACAGGGCATTGCTCCCCCATTCGTGCACTCACTGAACATTTTTTGAGGTACACTGCAGTGCACTAGGCTCCAAGGGAGCAGGAGAGATCACGTGAATAAGGTTCCTATCCTGAAATTACTGATAGATAGTCCAGGGTTTAAAATGATGTTCAGTGTAATCCACGTCAGTCATTTGATCTGTTGCTAAATTCCTGCCACGATTTCCCACTAAATGATGACCAGGCCTGTACTGCACTTACATATTTCCTAGGACAGAGAACTCACTACCTTTCCAGGCTGCTGTAAATGCCCAAGAGGCTTAAAGTAGAATAGGGGATGACAGGGACCTAAATGACTATAGCAATCTGGGTTTGGATAACTCAGTCCTCTCTTTACGAGCCGTGAAATAGGCACAGTAAGATGCATCTACACCCCGGCGGGCACAATCCACTGGGAACCCTCAGTGCAGGGCTCGTGTGTCGGCGCCCGTAAGCAACAGGTACGATTATGAGTACGAGGCAGAACGTCGGCAGCTCAAGTCCCTCCACGTTACCTGAGCACCCTTTGACCGCAGGAGAAACCCACCGGGCAACGCGGCTCCCCTCGCTGGGCTGGGAGAGGGGTCTGGTTGCCCTCTGGGTTTTGGTAAAATCCTGACTGTGGCAGGCACAGTGTCATCTCGCTAAATCCTCACAGCCACCACTGTCCTGATTTTACAAGTTAGAGCATGAGGACCAGAGAGGCTAAACAACACGTGCACAGGCAGCTGAAGGAGCGCAGGGCTGGTTTGGAACCTGTTTTGGTCAGACTCCGCAGCTGGGCAGAGGCAGCCCCAGGGCTCACGGGGTCTCACTGGCTTGGCCACAGCCCACCGGAGGCCTCATTACCATGCACGGGGCATGGCGCTAGATCCTTCTCCCGCAGGCTGGAGGCGGTTGAATCCGGGGAGGACTTCCTTTCTTCTTGGCTCCCTCCCCTAGCTCCTGGGCACTGCTCTCCCACCCCATTCTCTGACCAACTGTAGGACAATTGACTTTTGTCTGTGACCCTGAGCAAACCAGGCACCTCCCAACCCGTGTCTGTCCAGTGGAGGGACATAGTAGATGAGTGGTTCCCAGACTTTGGGGTCATACAGACAAAAAACGTTTTCAAAGGGGGGTGGGGAAGCGCTAATATACGCTGCCAAGTTTTTATTTTGCCAAGTAAAGACTTTTTAAACAATGACCAATGACTGTTGCCGTGAGTTCAGAAAAGGACATCTCATAAAAGTAGGAAGTTCACAGTCTCTGAATTTTTAAATGGAATCCGCTTAGCCTGGGTCCAACTCAACACATTGCCCCTACGTTCCATCCACTTTGCCACCAACTGGCAAACCCTCGAGGGGAGGCACAGAGCACAGGCAGGGCCCGTGGCTGGGAGCTTTGGGGCAGCAGGAGGGCCCCTCCAGAAACGCTGCCCAGCCCGAGCCCGTCTGTGCGCAGGTACCGAGCAGCCCTAGGGCCCCAGCGCTATGTGGGCTGGCAGATGGGGTTCAGGGGGAAGGACAGTCCCTGGTCTGGAGACAAATCACACGCAGAAGGCCACAGAGCCACCATGAAGAGCAAGGCCAAGAGCACAGCATGAACTGCAGGTGTGGCTGGACCCTGCCCTGGCTGTCCCTGCCCGGAGTGCTCTTCCCCACGCACCTGCGTGGTTCTCTCCCTCACTCCCCCAGCTTCCGCTCCATGCCATCTCCACGCGGTTAGCCAACCCTGCCTGCCCGGGGCAGCCCGCCCCAACTTGCAACCCACCTCCATCTTGCTCTGCTTCTCCTCTCCTTCCAGGGGGTGAGCCACCCCTGACATGCCTCACACTGTCATTGCTGAGAGGGTTACTGTCCGCTGTCTGCTGCCCCTGCTGGAACGCAGGGCCGCGCTGGGGCTTCCTCCCCACACAGAGCCCAGGAGTGCAAGCCACCCAGGGGGTGGTGTCGGGAGGCGGCGGGGAGGAGGCAGGTCCTCAGGACCTAGCAGACGTATTTAGCATCTTGTGCCCTCAGATGCCCAGCACCCAGCAGCGCCCAGCGCACAGCTGGCACTTAGTAAACATCTGCTGAAGGGACGGAGAAGCATGCCGTGTGGCCGAGTCACTTCCTCCACCCTCACCCCTGCAGCGGTCAGGTAGCTTTGCAGAGGTGTGTGCCTGTGTGTGACACAGACTGGAGGGGACTCAGGGACTGGACACAGCTTTCCTTAGAGCCAAAAATGACAAATGCTCAAGCCACAGAGTGACAAGGGCGGGAGAAGCAGCTGATGCGACCATGTGTGGGTGGGCAGCCCTCCTGGACCTGGGCTGAGGGCAGCTGTGCCGACCATGCCTGGGTCCGGCCGCGGCTGCACGGCTGGGCTGCCCGCGCCCCCTCCCAGCTTCGGATTCTTGGTCTCTGCTCATGCGCAGCCGCAGCTTCTTTCCTCCAGGCCACCCCCCCCACTGCCTGCCCAGCCTCAGGGCACAGCCATGCCCAGCGGGCAGGTATCCTGTCCCCCCAGGACCCCTGCAGCTAGAAGCCACCCAGGTGTTCGGAAGAAAAGCCAAAGGAAAAGAGGGCAAGCGGGAGCCAGAATGCCTGAGTTTGCGTTTACTTAGCAGCTGTGTGAAAATGACTTCCTCGGTCTGTGCCTCAGTTTCCTCATCCGTAGGAAGGATTAAAGAGATCTTACCTTGAAGGCCTGTCCTGAGAACTACAGTATGTAAGGAAATACATGTACAATGTTTGACACAGCGTCCGGCACTTGGCAAACATTAAAGAAATGCTGGCTAGTTATTATTACTTGTCCTAACATTTGTACCCATAGAAGCAGCGGTCCCCCGCAGACCCTCATTAGGAAGCATACTCTCCCCACAGCCGGCGTAGGCTGGTTAGGATTTCTCTCTCCCCTCCTGGGTCTCCCCACTGACAGATGGGACAGCTGAGGCCCAGAGAGGTTGCTCAACTTGCTCAAGATTACAAAGTTTTAACAGTTCAAAGTCTACCTCCCTTCACCATCCCCACTCCCTCCCAGCCCCAAACAAGGAAAAGGTGGCCTGGCCACAGGTTTTGGGGCAAAGAAAGTCAATCCTAGGAGTTCTCTTTCTTCTTGGGCAGCCGCAGGTCATTCTGGAGGCTGGGAACCACTCTATAGCCCTCCAGGGGGATGGAGGTTGGGTGATTTATTCTAATCCAACCCACACTCCCAGCCCAACCCACGGTCTGAAACTGCGGGGCGGGGCGGGGAGCAGGTGTGGGGGTGCTGGGGGGCCTCTGGGCTCTGGAAATGGCTACTGATATGCAGAGGGGTGAGTCTGAGGCCTCAGTGGCCTGATCAGTCCCTGGCAAAGAGCCAGGAATTGCAAGCGGGCAGGAGCAGGGTGGGGTGACAAACAGGAAGCAGCAGCCCACTTGCCAGTCCGGAGGGCCAGAGTGTCCAAGGATGAGGTCCAGGAGGTAGCAGAGCCCTTAAAACATCCAACCAGCCACGGAACCCACACAGACTCCTCAGAGGTCCCAGCTCGCCCTCCTGTTCAATAGCTGGGGAAACCAAGTCGCCAGAAGGGACTACTCTTGCCTCAAGTCACAATGGTTGCAAGCCCCACATAACTAACTCCCTGGGCGCAGGGTGTGCTGGGCACAGGTGTGGGGGAGGCAGCATCAGGCTGCCCAGGTCCCGATCCTAGCTCCAGCACTTACTAGCACTGTGGCCCTGGGCAACTCGCCCTACCACCCTGAGCCTCAGTTTCCTCATCTGTGAAACAGGATCATACGATATGTAGAAGCTTCTCAGTGAGTCTCTGCAAGGCTTAAATGAGCTAACTGCATAGAGACAGCCCGGCTCCCAGCCCGCCTGCTAAGTGTCAGCAATCACTATTACGTGTTGGGGTCACTCAAACTCAAGCCACACCAAGAGACAAGTGTGGCGGGGGGAAGGGCAGAGACGACACCCACGACTCTCTGTGCCCCTCCTTGTGCCATGAGGTCCTCCCAGTGAGCCCTCGGGCCACTCCTCCTCAAGGCCAAGCTTCACTCTGTCCTCAGACTCTTGGCCCACCTGGCAGTGACGGAGCACTGCCATTGCAGCCCCCTCCCCCCCAGCTCCCCACCCCCATCACTTCCAACCTCGGATGCACAACAGAGCCCCTGGGGAGCCCGTCAAAGCGCTCCTGCCCAGGAGGGGCTGTTTCCAAAGTCATCAGAGGTGGGCAGCCCCTGCTGTGTCCCGGCCTCTGGAGCCCTGCCATCTGCCGCCTCCTCCTACCTAACTCTTTCTGGGCTGGTACCTCTAGCACCTGCTCGCGGCCCCGTGCTCCCGGCCCTCCAGGTGGGTCCTTATGTATCAGCTGCAGCAGAATTTTGGGGTGGGCGCATAGCACCATCTTGGAGGCCATGCAAGGGGCTGGTGGCTCCCGCCCTGGGTGAGAGCTCCAGGGGAGGCAGCACCACGCCGGGGACGGCGCCTCTGACGCAGCTCACAGCCCTTAAAGGGCCAGGACCAGGACCAGGACCAGGCCACAAATGGCCGCCTGGGGCCTGGTGCCTAGTGCCCAACACCTGGCGAGTAGCAGGCGCCTGTAACGTGTACCTACAGGGACAGTGGGCTCACATTCCCCGAAGCGAAGCAGCTCGGGGGCCCAATCCGGACACCACGTCCTTGCTAATAGAGGGGGCAGCTGAAGAAAAACACCCCACCGGCTACAGAAATGAAGCAGCCCCTGCAGAAATTCCATCTCCAGCTTCCTGTGCCGTGGCCACACCGAGGTCATAACCAGCCTGACCTGTGAGGGACACTGAATCCTCAGAGGCTCACGTGGCCGCTTATCACCATCTCCCTTATAATATATTTAGGAAGAGCAAGAGAGACGGGTGCCTGGCGATGCCAGCTGGGCACATTCACCCGGGCAGGGACAGGTGGTACTGCCAGGTACACAGGAAAAGAGACACATCTGTGTGGCTGCCCGGGTCAGGTCTCAGAGGTCCTGTCTGCTGGGGGAGGGCAGGGGATATGTACACCCTGGGCAGAGACACCCAGCCTGCCCTGCCCCGCTGTCTTCCGGTACAGCTGGCACACGGGTCTGAAATAACCAGTAGGCACCTAAACGTGCGGGGGAATGGTGAGTGCCCTTCATTCGACCCAGGAGGGCTGGGGCGTCGGGACAGTAGCCAGAGACCCTTATCCACATAAGCAGGAGAGGCCTGTGTGTGTCCCAGCGAGGCTGCAGCCGCCTGGCGGACAGGGGCCAGCTGGGCCGTGGGCAGCGTGTGGAGTCAGACAGACCTGGTTTGAATCCTGGCTCTGCCACTTCCTGGCTGGGTGACCTTGGGCAGGTGACTTCATCCAGCCAAGCCTCCTGTTTCCTCATCTCTAAAATGGGAGTCATAATAATCCCTGTCCCCGGGGCTATTGGCAGACGAGCGAGCGCTCTGCCGAGAGGGGTCAGAGAGACAACAGCACAGGCAGGAGCACAGCCACGACTCACGGTGCTGGGTTAAAGATCCCCCCGCTAGCTGGCTCCAGCAGGCTCGTGCTCCTCCGGGCTCCTCCGGCTCGGCCCCGGAGCACAAGCACACGGAGGGGCAACCCCAGCCCCACAGCCTCGCTCTGTCCCTGTGGGAAGCTGGAGAAAACTGCTCCCGTTGCCATATAAGGCCGGGCCTGGCTGGCCTGGGGTCACTTCCCATGTCATCGGGGCGCAGGGAATGCCAGCTATGTGGGGGGAGTAGGAGGCGCTCGCAGTCTGCCCGCTTTAGTAGGGTGGATATGTCCACACTCGCAGGCACCCGCAGAGCAGGCCCCGCTGGGCTCAGAGATTAGAATATAGGTGAGGTTCAAACTGCATTTGCTACACCCAGGCAACCCACTCAGCCCCTCTGAGTCTGGATTTCTGTAAAATGGGAACAGCAAGCGGGGCCTGTTCTCACTCCGAGGTTAGAGTGAGCATCCGGTGGGCCATACCAAGCTCTGCAAATCGGTAACAAAAACTAAAGTGAGACCAAAAAATAGTGCATTTTCATACAGCTCCCCCGCCCCCCTTCCTCTACCAGGACCTCTAGGCCCACCGAGTCTTCTATTTTTACTCTTGAACCCCCCATAATAACAATAACTAAGATAGAGCTACCCGCTGCCCTCTGGAAGCTGGCCTGCACCAGGGGAGGAAAAATGCCCCAAAGGGAACTCGGGTGTTGGCCCAGAGAGGCCCCCAGAGCCGCCAGCCAGGCTGGGCTCTGCCCCAGGCAGCCTCCACTACAGTGCCCAAGCTGCCTGGCACAGCAGGTGGTGACTCCCCACAGTGACTCGCGAAGCCCAGTACTGCAGGGCTTCCTGCTTCCACCGGGCCACTGGGCCGGTTTAGCCCAGCCCCCCAGAATCCGCACTGCAGTGGACCAGTGAAGCTGTACCCCAAAGGAAGGCAGTCGGGCTGCCCACACAGTTCTCCCTAGAACGCACCCCTCAGAGACCCTCCACCGCAGCCATGGCCACAGGCGAGCTGGACTTGGACCCCCACAGTCTGCAAAGAGCTTCCATCCGCTTCTCTCCACTGTCCCGGGCACTGGAGAGGGAGCAGGGATCGCTGGTGCCATTCGAGGCTGGGCAGCCCGTGTGGGCCACGGCATATCTGCCATACCTGCACCTTGAGGCCCCAAACAAATGATAACGATCGATCGGGACAGCAGCCAGCTCTCCCAGGTACTTTATGTAGATTATCTCACTGAAGAATCACAACCACCGCCATCTCTTTCTGAAGAGGAAGGCTCAGTGCCTTGCCCAGGGTCACAGGCCAGTGCCTCATGGTGGCCATCCCGCCCTGCTGTGGTGGGGAAGCAGCTCAGGCTTCCAGTTGCATCCTGCAGCCTCCCTCCTACAGGGCCCCAGACCCTGGGTCCCAGCAGCCCTACAGCAGCCTGGGCTCACGTGGTGGGTCTGGGAACAGCATCCAGCAGGGGAAGGACTCTGGGCTGCCAGCTCTGCCACTGGGTCCTGTGTGGCCTGGAGTCAGTTGCTTGCCCTCTCTGGGCATTGGGATCCCGGGGTGGTGAGACCACAGCTCTTTCTTGCTCACTCTCCCCAGTCCCAGTGCTGTCTGGATCAGTCCAGATAGCCACATTCCTCCCCTTTCCGAGCCAAGCCAGTCTGCTTCCCAAAACAACCCTGTAGCTGCCTCCCACCCTTTAGCCGCCTCCCCAAGGGCAGGGTTGGCACAGAAAGTCCCACACACTGTCAGCTCTTCTGGCTTGTACAACAACGGTCACTTCAACCCCCATCTCCAGCTGTCTCTGGCTCAGGGTCCTGCCAGCTCAGAACCTGCCCAGCCAAGTGGCCCAGGGGGCTGTATGAGGTCAGGGTCCCAGGCTCCTGTCCAGAGAGCAAGAGCAGCCAACACTGAGGCTGGGCTGGTGCTGAGTGACCTAGGAGGGAGCCCAGCAGTGACCCCGGCCCCCTGGGAGCCCCAGCCAGATGTTCAGGCAACCTTTCAGCTGCTGTGTCCAAGACAGCACCAGGAGGCAGGGTGAGGGTGGCAGCAAGGTGGCCGGAGATTACCTGGAGGGAGCCTGAGGTCCCCGAGTTCCCCAGGGGACACCTGAACCCAGTGGTCTGAAAACAGGTGGCTCACTTCTAAGCAGGGCAAGAACACCGAGGAGGGACTCGAGACTGCAAGCTGCTGGCAAGAAGGAACACTACATACAACCACGCCCCAGCCCCTGGACCCACCTCCCGCCGCCTCCACCAGGACGACACAAACAGCATGCTACTTTGGGACTCTGGGCTGGGCCCAGCCCCCGGTTACCAGTGTCCTGGGGGAGCCAGCAGGGGCAATGCCCAGGCTTGTTTCAGTGGCCATGTCTCTGCCACCACTTAGGACGCAACCTGGGGGATGTCACCCTCAGGAAATAATTCTCGTACCACGTGAATGCTTCTGGCTGCCAGGTGCTGGACACTGCAAACCTTCCCTCACGGAGCCCTCGCAGTGACCCTGCTCAGAGAGGAGAGGCCTCGCCAAAGACCACAGAGCTGGCGCCTGAGGGAGGCCAGATCTAAGCCTAGGTCTTGGGGATGCCCAAAGCCACTGGCTGTGCTGCCTTTGAGCTTTGGCCAACCCAGACAGGTCCTGACATCTTTTCTTATCTTCTAGAATCCACACGGTCCGGTCGTTAAGCAAACGTATGGAGCTCCCACTGGGTGCCTGCAGCAGCAGGAAGGATTTCTTCCAAGGAATCCAACAAGACCAGCCAGCAAAGCCTCAGGTCCCTAAGGCAACCTTTCTTACAAGCTGGAGTGCAAAGGAGTTGTGTGTTTGGAGGCGCAGGGAGGCAGCAGACCACAGGGAACCGCCAGCATCTGCCAGAGCCTGTGTTCGGCGGAGGAGAGAGCCTTGGCCTGGGGTCCCTTCCCGCCAAATCCCTGCAGCGGTCCCCAGCGGGCTTGCGGAGAGTCCCGAGCCGGCGGGCATCCAGCTCCCCACCGGCCCCACCTCCCCAGCCTCAGAGTAACAACTTGCAACCCGAGACGCCAGGCCCGGAGCGGGGAGGTGGAGGCGGACCTACCTGGCGTGGAGGCCACAGGGCTGGGGGCGGAGGGAGGCAGGGAGAAGGCCGGGGAAGGGGAGAAAGGGGGTGGATGTGGCGGCGGGCACGGCCTCGCGGCCCGAGGAGGCACCCGCTCGGCGCGCGGCGGCCCGGGCGACTCGCGAGCGGCGCTGGCGGCGGGGCTTACCCGGTTGATCTCGGCCAGCCTCCTCTCCTGCCGGGCTTTGAGCAAGCCGAACGCCTTCCCTCCTGGAGGAGACAAAGAGGCGGCCGGGGCAGCGGGGGCCTTCCCGGGCCGCGCACCCCCGCCCCCGCCCGGTTCCCGCGCGCTCGGGCCCCGCCGTCCGCCCGGCGCGCACAGGTGGCGCCCGGGGACGCCGGGCGCGGGACGGCGCGGGGACAGCGGCGCCTACCTTGGAACCTGTTGCTGAGCGCGACTGACATGGTGAGCACCGGCTCCCGCCGGCTCGGGACTCGCGGCCGCGGCAAGGGACAGCGGAGAGGGACTGGCGCCTGGTCCGAGCTCGGCTGCCTGTGGCGGCGGGACGGAGGGGCGGGGGCAGGGCGCGCGCGGCCGGACACACCCCTCCCTCGGCTGCCCGCCCCCCTCCCCCTGCCCTCCCCGCCTCCCGCCGCCCGGGCCGGCATCAAAGCGGCTATTATGCGGGACGCGGGGCGCCCGCCTGCCCCTCCGCCCCAGGACGCGGAAAACGCTGCGCACGGGCCGGCCCCAGCCTCCCTCCGCGCTGCTCCCCGACTGGCAAGTCCCTTCCCCAGAAACAATGCGGGCCGGTCTGAGCTCGAACTCCATGCGGCAGTTGTGAGGATCCAGCGCTGTCCGCGCGGTGGACAGTCAGCGCTCGGCTCACCGAGGCTGTCCGATTGCTGGTGCCCTTTGCGCAGCTTGGCGCTGTGACACCCGCGGCACCTCAACCCAATTGGAATGAATTCGTGTCTTGTTAATAAAACCCATTTTGGGGCACTCACTATGCACCATATACTTTGCACTGAGCGCCAGTCATTTCATTCTTAAAACTCTATGAAATAGGACTCAACTCGCGTTCCCATTTGTAGAGGAGAAAAGCCAGGAAGGTGAAGCCTGGGGCGCAAGTTCACCAGGAGGATGCACCGCCCAGGAGTTCCAGGAAGAGCGGAGCTCAGGGTGCAGGAACTGGGACTTGTAACTGGGGTGACCATGAAATCTAGTGTCCAAATCAGGCCAGTCTGAGGATAAAGGGGGCACTCCAACTAGGCTGGGGCCACAGGCTTAGACGGGGATTGTCCTGAGCAAACGGCAGGCTTGGTCACTGGTTACAGCCCTGCTGCACACACTGAGCGTGTGGCTGGGGGCCAGATCCAGAAGTCTCCTTCCCCAAAGCCATCCCCATCTTGACCCCTAGGATTGGGATGCTGAGACCAACTGCTCAACCTTTTTTCTGTGGCTGCCCCTGGAAAGAGAAGTGGCCAGGCTGCCCCCAGCCAGGGGCTGGGCAGAATGGGCTGGGGCTGACATCAGCCAGCACAGCCAGTGCCTGCTCTTCCTAGGCGACTCCTCTCTGCCCAGTCGCTCCTAGGGTTGGGATCAAGCCAAACTCTATGACCTTGGGCCAAGCCCCTTGACCTGGCCAAGCCTCAGTCCCCTACTCTGCACAGTGGAGGAAATAAGAATTTCTCACTAAGCAGGGGCTTTTGTAACTCTGATTGCTTTCTGAGTGTTTTTTAGAAAAAGTTTGGAAGGGAGAAGGTGTAAGGAATTAAAATCATTGGTGATGGGAGACGTTCCATCTGGAAGCCAAAGAGGGGTGCTGACTTAGAACAAGGCTCTGGTAATGCAGTTCTCCGTCCGCCCTCAGACTGCGCTGGCAGTTGGGCTGGTTGGCCCCAGTCAGCCACCTTGCAGGGCAGGGCCGCCCCACCTACTGCCCATCCACTGGGCTGCATCACTGGCCAGATGTTCACCAGCTGCCACATTCCAGCCAGCAGCGGCCCCACCTCTGGGGCCGGAGAGTGGCTCTGCTCACGCACCAGGCATGATCAGCCCGCATGAGTCACAAGATGTCAAGCCTGAGGAATGGAGGGGAAGCCTGTTCTCCACCCTTCGGGGAGGCTGGAACCAGGCTTTGCTGAGCCCTGAGGCTAGCAGGGATAGGGGCTGGATGCCAAGAGCAGGAATCAGAATGGAGGTGTGCCTTATCAGCAGAGAAACTGGGGGGGGGGAGGGGCTGGGGGACATCAGACTCTGTCCCAAAGGTCCTCAAAGACCCCTCATCTTCTCTGTACCACTTACACGAGACACCAGTCACCAAACGCTGCGGAGCAACGGCTCCCCCATCTTCAGCACCTCCCCCGACCCCAGAAATCTACAAGGCACTAGCTTAGCTTAACAACGTTCCCACGTCGACCCTCCCCACCTCGATTTTAAGGTTTTCTGTGGAGGGGCACACCTCTGCTCTGAACACCGTCCCCCATTAGGGTGAGGGGGTCACGGTCATCTCATTACGTGGCCTTGGATCCAGAGAGGCCCCTCATCCCGAGCAGGGACCGGAGGACCCGACCTGAGCTGGGAAGCTGCAGTCGGGACAGAGTTGCCAGCTTGTCTCCCTCAAGCATTAGACCTGGTGACACGTACACACAAGGCTATGGCAGTGGTGGGGGGCAGTGGGGTGTCCTCTTTTATCAAGTGCAAGAAAAACAAGGAACGCCACTCTGTGAAGAGGAAAGATGGAAGCAGACAAAGAGAGAGAAGCAGAGGCAGAGACAAAGAGGAAAGGCAGGAGGAAGAGGGAAGCTGCCCCCACCTCGCCGGCAGCCTCAGGCACCCCCCAGGCTGGCTCCAAGGCCTGGCAGCCTTTCCCACTCCAGCTTCCAAATGACCCTCCCAACCGATTCTCTTTTTCTGCTTAAACCCACTTGGGAAGGGTTTGGACCTTGGGGCCATAATCCCACCCCATTCAACTTGGTTCCCAGAATGACCCATGCTGGCCAGGCCCCACCCTGCAAGTCCTGGATGTTGCCCACCCTCTTGCCTGGAATCTTTCCTCCTGTCTCCCCACCCTTCGAGGCCAAGCTCAACACCCTCCTCTTCCTCCTCAAGGGTGTCCCTCCCTGCTCCTTGTGCTCCGAGTTTCTGTCTCCAGCCTGGGCCAGAGGTCAGCTAAGGGACTCTCTGCACCCCACCCCCAGGCTCGCCAGCCCCCAGACTGCCTGGTAAGTGCCCCAGAGCACAGAGCAGAGGGTGGGCACCTGTGCTCACAGAACCCCAGCAAAGCCCCCGGTGGGAAGGCACTGGCAAAGCCATGAGCTCTGCTTCGGCCACCTACGGCTGCCGCGTGTGGAGGGGGGTGTGCCCTGCTGCCCACTCGCAGGGGGGATGGAAGGCACACCACCCAGCTCAGAAGAAGGGTCCTTTATTCCCACATTACACAGAGCTGGTCCGCACTGCCCCCCTTCCTGTCCGGGGAGCCACGGGAGGGGCCCGTCCTCCCAGTGCCAAGGCCCTGCCATGTGCTGGAGGCGGCCCAGGAAAGGGGAGGAGTGCCAGGAGGAAATGCCAGGGAGTCCTGGGCAGAGGCCACGGGAGGGCCTGGCCACAGGGGGGTTCCCCAGGCAGGACAGACAGGAATGGCAGCCATGCACCCACACTCCTGTGGCCTCCCTCATGGCAGGTGGGGCCACAGGGCCGGTTAGAGAAGTGTCAATCAAAGGCCATTGGGTTGCTGGAGACATAAAGGAGTGCTCTCAGTGGCCTGTCTGAGTCCCCATGACCCAGGCCTCCTCCAGCCCTTGAGGGTCTGGCTCTTTGGACAGATCACAGGCTAAAGTGGGGGTGGGGCCGGGGGCAGGTGATTCCTCCAGTATGTCTGGTGCAGTCCCAGGGTGCTGAGAGGGAAACAGCTGGTAGAGCCGGTGGCACCTTGCCAGGTGGGCCTTGCTCCAAGCCCCATCAATGCCTCAGGGGGCCGTGGGCCCAGATTCCACCGCTGAGAACCCTCCCAGGATCTTGGCCTGCTGATTCCCTGGCTGCACAGAGCTGCTGGGTGTAGCCCGGTGCCCCTGCCGGGTGACAGGTAGGCAGTGGTGTGGTGGCACAGAGGACAGCTCTGGGACCCGGCACTCTGGCTCCTGCTGAACCCACTCTCGATTTCTGCAGATCTGCTGAGATCCCTCTGCTGTCTGGGGCAAGAGTGGGTATGTTGGCCCTGCCGGGTATCTGACAACTTGCCCAGCCCCTGCAGGGTGCCTGGCACATAGCTGGCTCTCGACAACACCTGTGGACTCACTCTAACATGTGTGCATGCCTGGATGGACTTGAACGTGTGTGTGCATCACACACAGACGTGCACCCACATGTGTGCATGTGCACACATGCGCTGACACGGTGTGTATGTTTATGCCTGTGCAGGGGTGGCAGTGTACACCGATGCCCGAGTGCACGGGGTGTGCGCACACACTCCTGCTGGCAGGGAGGAGGGTGCAGGCAGACTCAGCAGGGAGCACGACTATTCACACGGACAGTCCACAGCAGCCGGCTCTGGAGTGTGCGTAAGTGGGCACATCTGTGTGGGGTGTGTGTGTGCATGCCCTGGGCCATGAAAACAGCAGGTGGGGGAGTGTGCACCGGGGGTCTGGGCAGCCCTCACTGCCAGCTGGCACAGTGCTCGGGCAGGCTGTGCAGAATGGCCTCCAAGTTCTGCTTGTCGGCGCGGATCTGGGCGAGGTCACTCTCGAAGCCCTGGATCTGCAGCTCCTGCTGCTCAGACTCCTGCTCCAGCAGCCTCAGTTTCCCCTGCAGGGCCCCCGGCGAGCCCAGCTGTAGCCTCAGGCGCTCCAGTGCCTGCTGAGTCTCGTTCAGGGTCCGGGCTGGGGCTCCACGGGTGTCCAGTGACGCTGTAGAGGAACACAGACAGCCTCAGCATGAGCCGGCTGCCCTGCAGGCCCCAGGAACCCGTTCATCCCCGTCCCCTGAGACTGTCCCCAGCTCAGATCTGCCAGGATTCTGGCTGTCCACCATCTACCAGGGAAAGACAGGGACCAAGACAGCTGTGTGGTGAGGTGGGCAAGGGCCCAGGCACCCCAAAGTGCTCATGTGCAGACCCTGAAACTTTCCCCTAGATGGCACTGGACAACTGTTAATTTTTGTTGATGGTGTTACTATTATTGCCAAAAAATGAAGGCCTCAGGTGGGTCCTCTCTGAACCTCAGTTTCTTCACCTACAAAGCAGTGTGTGTGGGAGAGGTCCCCATGATTTCTGTTGGCTTGATCATGCTGCCATCAATTCACCAAGAGCACACGTTTATTGATGCTATCTGTGTGCCAGAGTGTGACTATCACTGGGGTAAACACAGGGTCTCTGGCTTCAGAGCAAGGCTGGAGGCAGCTGGAGCAGAGACCTGGCCTAGAAGGCGGGCAGCAGGGTCCTGGCCCCGGCCCCTGCATGCATTAGCTCTACTCCCGGGGTTAAGGACTTCTCTGCACCTCCCCAAGCCCCAGACAAGGGGGTGGGGCCAGGTGCTCAGGTTAGAACTTGGTGGTGATGGTGGAATGGGATTCAGGGGCTGCTTTCCCCACCTGGCCCTTGTCACCTTGTCCCTAAGTGTGACATTCGACAGAAAGACAGAGCCCAGCCAGGTGGGAGAGTGATAGGCATGGGGAAGGAAGTCCCAGTGGCTTCTAATCCCACAGGATCCCGCTGGGCCCCAGGGCTCCCAGAGGCCCTGAGTTTCCTGCGCAGGGGAGGCTGTGCCGGAGGCAAGGAGCTGCAGGCGCCCAGCGAGCGGGGAGCTGGGGCCCCAGCAAAGACCTCAAGAGGCCCCACCGCCCACAGTAAAGTCCAAGCAGCCGGCCTTCGAGGAGATTCAGAATTGGGTGACAGGCACCACTCTACCTGCTCAGGCTGTTTGGGGGCTCCCAGGGGCAGGGTCCCGGTCAAACACAGTGTGGCACAGAATTTGTCAAGTGGATGACTGACAATGACAATGGCCACAGTGGTTTACACTCATAGAGCGCTTGCCCTGTGCTGGCCATCCAGTATAGATGAGTGGCTACAAGCACGCATCGAGTCAGACCCATGCGTTTTTTTCCCACGGACTGGCCGTGCGGCTCTGAGCACATTATCTATACTCTCTGCCTCAGTTTCCTCATCTGCAAAACGGCAAAAGAGTAACTGTCCTTGCGTCCAAAGGTCAGTGTAAGAACTCTGCTAGGGCACATGTGTGAATAGGTCAGCACAGGCCTGGGGTCCAGGAAAAATGTAGAACGTGGTGATTCCTCCTCTTCTTACTAATAACGGTAACTGAAAAACGTATGTGGATGGACGCTGAAGACATCACACCAAGTGCAATAAGTTAGCCAAAAAAGGGCAAATACCATGTGATTCTACTTGTAGAGGTTCCTAGTGTCAAATTCATACACGACAGGGGAATGGTGGTTGGCGGGGGCTCAGGGAGGGGTTGGGGGGTGAGCACTGAATGGGGACAGAGTTTCAGTTTGGGAAGATGACAAAGTTCCGGAGATGGGTGGTGGGGACAGCTGCATAATATAATTAATGTCACGGAACTGTACACTTAAAAATGGTTAAGATGAAAAATTTTGTTATGTGTATTTTACCATGATTTTTAAAAATGCAGGCTGTTCAGCCAGGTGTGGTGGCACACGCCTATAATCCCAGTACTTTGGGAGGCTGAGGCAGGAGGATCGCTTGGGGCCAGGCGTTCAAAACTAGCCTCTTAGGGAGACCCCCATCTCTACAAAAAAACAGAAAAATTAGCCAGGCATGGTGGCGGGTGCCTGTGATCCCAGTACTCTGGGAGGCGGAGGTGGGAGGATTGGTTGAGCCCAGGAGTTTGAGACCAATGTGAGCAAGAGCAAGAACCTGTCTCTACTAAAAATAGAAAACCTAGTCGGGTGTGATGGTGCATGCCTGTAGTCCCAGCTACTGGAGAGGCTGAGGCAGGAGGATTGATTCAGCCTAGGAGTTTGAGGCTGCAGGGAGCTATGATGATGCCACTGCACTTGACGTGCTGTTCATTTCAGCCCAACTGCTCTGACTGCTGTGTCCCTCCAGCCTTGGAGACCTTGGTGTGTGCTGTCCTCTTCATCCAAATGAAGGGCCTTCTTGCTGGGGCCCATCTTGAATCTGCCTCCTTCCTGAGACTCACTAGTTACTGCCCCCCACCACACAGCATGCACTGTGGTAAGCACTTTCTAAATGGCCCCATGGTTACTCCCATTTAACAGATGGGCAAACTGAGGCTCAGAGAGGTGAAGTGACAGGCCCAAGGTCTCACAGCCAAGGGAGGGATGGAGCCCGACTTGAATCCTGGTCTGTCTGATTCCAAACCAGCAGCGGATGCTCGATGCCACGCTTGCTTCTGTGATATTCTCTCTTCTCTTGAACCCTCAGTCACTGAGGGCTCAGCTGGTCACCTGGTGCCCAGGTGTCCCTGCCTGTGGGGAGTTTTCTGTGCCTCCCTCCCTCCCCAGACTGGAGGCCGCTGGAGGCCGCAGAGAGTCATTCACCAGGAATCCAGTCCACGTGGCCTGAGGCGGTTACCAACGCTTGTGAGGGACCCAAGGATGGGAACGGGGAAGCCGTGAAGAGGAGCACGAGGAGGAAGTCTGCCCTAGGACTGGACCTTGAGGGAAGGTCCTGGAGGTGCCCAGGGACCCAGGGCTCCAGGGCCCAGCCTCGGGGTGTCCTTACCCAGCCTGGCAAGCAGCTCTGACAAGGCCTCTATGTCCTTCTCCAGGGAGACGCGCGATTCCCGGATCTGCCGCTCCAGCTCGCTCAGCCCGGCACCCACCTTCCAGAGGGAGGGAGGGACAGCTTGAGTGGCGCCCCCCCCCCCAGCTGTCAGGGCGGGAGGAAAGGAAGGGCCCTAGCGCACGTACCTGCTCAGCCTCCTCCTGCTCCTGCCCGCGCACCGTGGAGGCCAGCACCTGCCGGGAGGCCTGTTGGAGCGTGGCCTGTGTCCGGGAGGCCTGTCGCAGCGTGGCCTGCGTCTGGCTGGCGAGCCGGCTGGCACGGCGCTGCCCCTGCTTCCCCTCCCTCAGCAAGGCCTTGGCAAGCTATTGGGGGGGAGGGGAGAAGAGGTGATCGCGTGCCCAGTGCAGGGAGGTGCGAGGGCAGTGCAGGCTGCTGGGTGCGACCCACTCCTCCCCAGAGGAGAAACTCCAACTATTCTACAGATGGGGACTCGGGCACAGGGAGGAGGAGCTGGGCAAAGTCCAGGTGGCAAGACAAGAAGTCAAGCCTGGGGCCCACTGCAAATCCATAGGCAGCGCACTTGGGGTTTGAGCAGCAAAGCAGCAATAGAGCTGGGAGGCGCACGTCGAGCAGGACGTGGCCAGACCGGGCAAGCACCCTTCAGGAGCCTTGCTGTCCTCACCTGTGCAATGGAGACAGCAAGGACACCTATTTCGTGAGGGGCCAACAAGGCCACCGTGTGACGCTCTGAGCTAAGAGCCTGGCCCCTGCGCAGTGAGGGAGTGTGGAGTAGCCAGACCCTGGGCAGGGCCCACGGGGACCGCTCTCATATGGCAGTCCTTCCGCAGGCCTGGAAGGTGGGGGGTCGTCATGGCCACGGCCCTGACCTTGGCATTGCCCTTGGCCAACAGCTCTGCTTCTCTGCCCTTCTTCTTGGCGCTGGAGGAGAGAGAAGCCGCGTTGCCCAGCATCCTCTCCGCCTGCTTGGTCTTCTTCTTCGCGTCCGCAAGGAGCCTGCCCCTGACGACGCCCGCCTTCCCCTGCAGCACCGCCTGGTCCTCGGGCCGAGGGAACTGCAACTTCAGTCCTGCAAACCCGCGAGGCTATGTCAGGAGAACCGGGCTCACGCCTCCAGGGCCTGCCAGGAGGTCACTGGCAGGTGCCTGACCAGTCCGGACCCTTGATGACATGAGTGGAGCTCGAGATGCATGAGGCCTGTGTACGGCCTTCTCGGCCCCAGCCAGGACATGCTGCTCGGTGAACTTAATTATGGTCTATTAGTAACATCTACCAAAGGCATGAAGTCACACAGTGGTCAATGCCTGGGCCGGCGGCGGGGGTGGGGGCCATAGCAGAGTCCATGGCTTTTTATGCACCACCCATTTCTAACAGGGCTTTGTGGAAGGGTACAGTGACAGACAAATCAACGATTGGATCATTGCCATAGAAAACCAAGAGCCATCTGTAATTAGTGGGATAAGAGAGGAAGGGGGAGGGGTGAGAAGTACCAGAAAATTAGGATTATGACATTATAGAAACCAAATGTGCTATTACCTCTGAGCTCCCAAGCAGCCAACACAAAAAGGTAAGTGTTACAATTTTCATAGATTTTATTATCTAAGAAGAAGCAGTTTCTCTCTCGGTAAAAAGAGACTTTTTCCTTTCCTTTCTGATAAAATTCTAAGGGAAATTTATCATAAAGAGTACTGATTATATAGATAAAGTTGATTTTTTAAAAAGCGTCAAGCCTGGTAGGGTGTGGTGGCTCACGCCTGTAATCCTAGCACTCTGGGAGGCCAAGGCAGGAGGATGGCTTGAGGGCAGGAGTTCAAGACCAGCCTGACCACGAGTGAGACCCCGTCTCTATTAAAAATAATGGAAAAAATTAGCTGCCCAACTAAAAATAGAAACAAACAAACAAAAAAATTAGCTGGGCATGGTGGCTTATGCCTGTTGTCCCAGCTGAGGCAGGAGGATTGCTTGAGCCCAGGAGTTTGAGGTTGCTGTGAGCTAGGCTGATAGCATGGCACTCTAGGCTGGGTGACACAGTGAGACGCCATCTCAAAAAAAAAAAAAAAAAAAAAGAAAAAAAAGCATCAAGCCTTCTAATCTTTGGAGGCATAATATTACATAATCATTCCATCCAGAAATTAGATATACTTTGCTTCTTGTACACAAAATTGCTGTTTCTGAAAGTGCATTCTATGGAGGCCTCATTCTATAGGATGTTAATAAACATAAGGGGGAAATGTCAATTAAGTTTAAGTAAAGTGAACCAGGTTTCTTTATTACAGGACTTCTCAGAGCCTTTAATATTCTAAAGGGTTCTCTATAACAACAGTTCCCAACCTTTTTGGCACCAGGGGCCAGCTTTGTAGGGAGTAGCTGTAAATACAGAAAGCTTTGCTTTCACTCACCCTGCCACTCAACTCCTGCTGTGCTCCCTCCCCACCCCAGTCCTAGTTTCAAGGAAGACAATTTTTCCTCTAAGGGGCGGTGGGGGGAGGCCAGTGGAGCTCTGCAGTCCACCCCCACACCCGGGGGTTGGGGACCACAGCTCTATAAGGCCTCAAGACAGAGCTACAGTATGAGATATTCCCTAAACTTATTTGAGCACAAACCCTTTCTTGATTTTATAGAACATATTATGGTCTAGGAGACCCCCAGCCCCTGGGGAAGGTTGCTCCAAATTTGATTCCGTGAATGTCCCTTCCATCCTGAACACCAGCTGAGCACAGGCCAACCGGTGGTAAGAGGGGGTGTCTCTCCGATGGGGTTGGGGTGGGGACGGGAGGTCCGCGGGGAGCCCTCGTGTGGACTGTGGAGCAGTGCCGGGGGCAGGTTTCCGTCCAGTGCACGCAACAGCCTCCTCATTCCCAGAACCACCCAACAGTGAGGCGGTACCTTGCAGGGTAGTGAGCACCCCGCTGATGGAGACAGGCAAGCCGAGGGTGGGTGAGCCCCCTCCGTGGCAGGGGATTGGCAGCAGACTTTGAGACCCCTCATAATTCCAGCGTTCTAAGATCCTAATATTCCCCCATTATATGCCACTGAATGTACGTTTTCCTAAATGTGACTCCAGATACATAAGCACACGCGGCCACACCTGTCCCGTAGGAAGCCCCCTAACCAGTGGGTGACCAGGACTGCAGGCCACTGACAACCTACAGAACAGGAGGCATTGACTAGTTGCCCCCAACCCCAGCTCAGAGAGGCCGGGCCCCTGGCTGGAGCTACAGCCCTGTAGGCCGAGGGCAGGGTGGGAGGGACCCAAGGAGCCAGGATGACAGCCAGGGCCTGGCTGCTGGGCTCAGACCCCAGGAGACCCCAGGAGCAAAGAGGATATGGCAGAAGCTGGTGACGTAGGAGGTCACTGAGGTGGAGAATCATCATACTTGCTGGTTTCTAGTCTCCACTCAGCTCTAGCCCAGGGATGGATAGCAATTCCTTTCCTCAGTCTACTCATCTGTAAAATGGGGGGACTTGGCCTCATCCTCCTAAAGCTCAAAAGACACCTGGACTGGCACCAATCTATTACCCCCTTCTAAGGAGAAATTCTGCCCCCTCCCTGTAGCTCCAACTCCGCACTGGAGCAGCACCACCGTGTTTGTACTGGGTAACTGGACCCCCGGGAAGGATGAACTAGACCGAGGTGGACAGCCAACGACATCAGAGCCTCCTCCCATCTGGTCCAAGGGGCTCTGCACATGGTCTGATGACACCGGGGGTTGGACGGGATGGCCACGTGGGCAGGCACCTGGTGAGGGGTGTGTCAGATGGGGAGACAGCAGCCACAGGAGAGGCCCCGAGAGGCGCAGGGAACTGTCTGCCTGGCTTAAGCCCACAAGACTGGACTTCGGTCCTCCGAGACCAAGCCTGCCCTGGCTGAGGCGAGAGTTGAGTGGCTGTCGGGGGCATCTGTGCATCATAGAGAGCCTAGAGCTCAGCCAGACGCATGTACCTTCCAGGTCAGCCAGCAGGGTCCTGGCTCCCGTGACGGTCACTGTGGCAGCCTGGACAGACGAGGAAGCCTGGGCCAGGGCGGCTCTGGCCTCCTGGTTCAGCTGGAGAGAGAAGAAGAGGGGTTAGGTCACTGGCCCTGCAGGTGCACCACCTGGAGGTGGGCTGGGCCCAAAACATCACCCAGACTCTGGGACTGAACCACACTGTCTGCTAGGAACACCCGGTCTGTCATCCAAACGTTGGGCCTGACTCTCTCTCCCAAGAAGACACCTGTCCCACAAAACCACAGGGGAAAACTGGAACTCAAGAACTGAAGGGAAGATGAGCAACTGAACGTTTCTTTTCAGGACGGCGCTTGTGTCTCCACTGGCGGGCGTGACACAGTGAGCCTGTTCGTTATGGGACTTTTTCTCCCCCACTGCCGCCAAACAAGACTAGCCACTTAAAGAATCCGGGCTTGATGCGTGGATGGATAAACAAAATGTGGTTCATCCGTACCCTGGAACATGACTGAACCCTAAAAAGGAGTGAAGTATTGATCCAGGCTACAATGTGGATGAAGCTTAGAAACCTGCTAAGCGACAGAAGCCGACACGAAGGCCACGCACTGTGTGAATCCATTCATGCGAAAGCTCTAGACCAGCTCTAGACCAGGTACCTCCACGGAGACAGGAAGCTGACCAGTGGATGCCAAGGGCTGGAGAGAGGGGGACGGGGGTGTGTGTGACTGCTTAATGGGCACAGGGTATCTCTTCTGAGTGATAAGAATGTTCTGGAACTAGACAGAGATGGAGGTTATATAATATTGTGAATGCACCAAATGCTACTGGATTGTACGCTTTAAAAAGGTTAATTCGTGTTATCTGAATTTTACTGCAATAAAACAAATAAATAAGTAAATATGGATAGACAGATAACATGTGTCCAAAGAGTCACCGACGCCACCTCGCCAAGCGACTCTGCGCGCTTGGCGGTGTGGGAGGGAGGAGGCAGGGGTGCTGTGGGGGCGGTGCTGGCACACTCGGGGGTCTGACTCTGCTACTGCTCTCAGAGGGGTGCTGGGGGGGGTCCCCTCTCTTCCTGGCATCCTCACCCTGGATCAGGCCAGGGGACCAGGTCAGAGGGCACCACCCCAGGCCCCCCCCCATACCAAAGCTCCCCAAGAATGTGCCAGGCGCTGGGCCCAGCCCTTCAGATAGCTTAGAAAGCCCTTCTCCTGTCTGCGAGGGTGGGGGCATTTGCATAAGGTGTCGCTACTTCACTGTATCACGTTGTGTTGTTTTCCTGACTGTGACACTTGTACTGGGGTCTGGCGAAGTGTGAACCTCAGGGATCTGAGTGAAGGGTGTGTGCGGATTCTCTGCACTCTCTTTGCAGCCTTCTTACAAGTCTAAAATTATTTCCAAATGAAAAGTTAAAGAAAATGTTTAAAGAAGTCTTTTGTAGTTTCACAGGTTGGAAACCGCTGGACTAAGCTAAATTCGCCCCGTGACTGTTGACCCCTCTGGTCACTGATGTTGCCTCCTCCGCGAGACTGAGAAGGCCACGTGGCCCGGCCCAGCGCCGTGGTCCCAGGGGCTGCTCAAAGCAGGTGCTTGGCGAATGAAGGAAGGAAGGAAAGAAAAGAACCACCCCAGTTCTGATTGATCCTGAGTAGGGGTGGTGGGTGCGGCTCTGGGGGCTGCTGGAACTGTCGTCTGTCCGTCTGTCTGTCCATCCCATCTCTTCTTCTCACACTGTTACTCTTCTCAGGAAACCAGGATTCCGTCCCTCAGCCCTGGCTGCCTCTGAGTTCTCTGGGGTTGGGGCAGGTGCCAGACAGATGGGAAGCGCCACTTCCTGTCTTTGCCCTTCCTCCTTCCCCCTCCCACAGCCCCAGCAGGGCAGCCCCCTGCTCCCGGCGTCCCGCTGACCTGTACAAGGGGCTCCACCTTCTGCAGCACCTCCTGGGCTGTGTCCTGGAGGGCTCGGGTGGCCTCAGTGGCCACGCGCTCCCTGGATGCAGCTGTCTTCTCCAAAGCCCTCGCCTTCCGGCCCAAGTCCTCGGCCTCCTGAGACTGTGGGGAGATGGTGGCTCAGGCAGTGCCTGCCCCGCCGGAAGGGCAGGGGGCAGTTCCCCTACTTGGGACACATGCCCTGCTGTGCTGAGGCCGAACCCCAGCCTCAAAGCCCAGTAGGCCCCAGGTACAGCGGAAGCCCCAGGGGCAGGGATGGCAGGGGTGGGGCTTCAGTTGATCCGGGCAGGCGGAGAGGCCAGGGAGAGGCCAGGTGAGAGAAGCCAGGCTGGGGCACCTTCTTCTAGAGACTCAATTTCCAGCCCCACCTATTTCTAGCCGTGATTCACAGTCCCTGGCTACAAAGTGAGACTCCTTCCCCAGGGCCACAGCCCTGTAGCTGAAACCTTGGGGGGCGGGATGTGCTTCCCGATGCAGGATTTTCCAGACTTTAGAGAAGCAGAGTGTAGGGTGACGGGTGCAGAGGGGCCAACTGGCCACCTTGGGCTTTACTCACAAATCCCCTCCCAGCCCCACAGAAGCAGCCCTAAGGGGCGAGCTCCGTGTGACAGATCAAGTAACTGAGGCTCAGGGAGGGAAAGTCCTTGGTGAAGGTCACAGAGCCGGTGTCATTGCTAACGTCACTGAAGTGGAGAAGAGGCTCCAACCTCAATTATCATCATCAACAAAGATAGGTGGAGCTGACTCTGCCAGGCCCTCTAGTGGATTCTCTCATTTTTCATCCACTGCTGTATAGTTAAAAATATGCCCTGTCACCTGCCTCTACCTGGCCCCACTGGTCTTTCCAGCTGCTAGATCCCCCGCCCCGCCCCAGGCAGAGCTCCGAGGATGACCCAGCTGACCGGTGCTCCGGGGGCAGCCGGCGCGGCCAGTCGCGGGGCGGCAGCTGCGCGGACTTGCTGCACGGCGGCCAGCGCCCTCTCAGCTTCGGGCAGCACCTCTGCGACAGCCGTGCCCAGTGCCTTCTGGGCCGCTTGGACCTCCTGGTACCTGGGAGGAAACAGAGGCCAGGGTGGCCCACGGGGCTGGTGCAGGGCTGCCCTCCCCGCCGCTGTCTGGGGTCCTGAATGGAGCCCGGATGTGCAAAGGCTTCTCCCAGCATCCCGGCAGCGGTGCCCTCTGCAGGGTTGGCACCCAGCAGCTGGCCTGGGACAGTGGCCGCTACTCTGCGGCTTTCAGATGAGCCACATCCTTGTTTGTTTGTTCATTTGGTTCAGTGACATTTTTCTGCAAGAGCTGTGCTGTGTTTCCACTCGAGAATCGCACAGTCTGCAGACGTTTCTTTCCTCCGGATGAATCGTAAACGGGAAACTGCCTGGTGGTGTGGGAAGCCTGGTGGCCCTGGTCTTGACTTGACCCTGCCCTTGCTGGTGACCTTGGGCGACCCACCGCAAAGAACGGCAGGACTCAGGGGAGTCGGTTTTGGGATCAGCAGCCTCTGGCCAGGCCCTGACGGCTCCAGGAGGCCAACCCCCAGCTCCTACCCACACCTGGGAGGTCTCACCTGTCCTCCAGTTCCCGCTGAGTCTCCAGGGCCACCGCACCCTCCACCAGACTCCGGAGAAGCGCGTAGCTAGCGTTGGAGGCGAGCAGGGCCCTGCGGGCGGCGGCTTCGATCTTGGCGGCGCTGCCTCTGTGGCTGTAGGAAAATGCCCGTCGGACCACGGCCAGCGGCTCACACAGAGGAGCTCACACCCTGCCACACGGCCCCTCGCCTCCCCTGAGTCCGGCCACAAGGACAGGGACTCCTCTTCCGCCTGTCTGCCTGACACAGCGAGGACTGCTCACGGAAGGGCACCGCACACCCCTCCTGGTACAGTTCACGCCCGTCGTCCTGGCATGGGATTAACAGGCCCTTCATCACACATTAAAGCACCTCACTTTGGACAATAAATTATAGTCACCCTGATATAAACAGCATCAAAGAGGGTGGGGGGACAGCCTGGGCCTTATCACTTCCAAGCTGTGTGTCCTTAAGGCACTTCTTTGAATCTGTTTCCTTGTCTGTAAAGCGGGTCTGAGGTCCCTGGAGTATAGCTAAAGGGGGAGATTGCCACAGATCTTGTGTTTTTAGGACTTAAGCTTCTTCCTCTTCTTCTTCTTTTTTTCTTTTTTTTGTTGAGACAGAGTCTCACTCTGTCGCCCAGGCTAGAGTGAGTACCGTGGCGTCAGCCTAGCTCACAGCAACCTCAAACTCCTGGACTCAAGCAATCCTCCTGCCTCAGCCTCCCAAGTAGCTGGGACTACAGGCATGTGCCACCATGGCCAGCTAATTTTTTCATATATATATATATATATATATTAGTTGGCCAATTAATTTCTTTCTATTTATAGTAGAGACGGGGTCTCACTCTTGCTCAGGCTGGTTTCACTCCTGACCTTGAGCGATCTGCCCACCTCGGCCTCCCAGAGTGCTAGGATCACAGGTGTGGGCCACCGTGCCCGGCCTGGACTTAAGCTACTTCTTAAAGGCAGTGGATGCAACAGCCCAAGTGTCCATTAACGGGTGACTGGACAAAGTGTGGCATGTCCCTCCCTCTGGTGGAGGACTAACCGCCACAGATGGGAGCCAGGTGCTGACAAAGCTGCAGCATGGACGAGCCTTGACAACACTGTGCCGAGGGACAGAGCCAGACGTAAAGGACACATAGCGCATGATTCTGTTCACAGAATAGCCAAATCTAGAGA